ATAATCAGAGTTGGAAGGGACCTTGTAGGACATCTAGTCCAACCCCCCCGCCCAAGCAGGAGACCCTACACCATTCATGACAAATGGCAATCCAGCCTCTTCTTGAAAGCCTCCAGCGATGAAGCTCCCACAACTTCCGAGGGCAACTTCTGTTCCATCGGTTGATTGTTCTCACTGTCAGAAAATTTCTCCTTAATTCTAAGTTGCTTCTCTCCTTGGTTAGTTTCCACCCATTGCTTCTCGTCCTGCCTTCTGGTGCTTTGGAGAATAGCTTGACCCCCTCTTCTTTGGGGCAGCCCGAGAGATTGGAACATTAGACAAACACTAGACAGACTAGACACCCTCAATTCCCACAACCGTTCTTCATAGGTTTTAACCTCCAGTCCCCTAATCATTTTTGTTGCTGTTCTCTGCACTTTCCAGAGTCTCATCCTCTTTAAAATCTTTACCATCACTTTAATCCACCTCTCATTGCCAACACAGCCCATCTTTGATTTTTAATTGACTTATTTAATTAACTGAAATTTAATCCATGTCGTTGTATAGAGGTACAATGACAATAAAGGTTATTATTACGGTTGATACCAGTCTATGGCACCAAACTAATCGCTCCATCACCTCAAGTGGATTTAAAGGAACCGCTCTCTCAAAACAGCCTCTCCCCCCCCCGCCCCCCCCCGCTCCCGCCTTGTGACGACAAACCCCAGGGACTAGGAACTTGAACTCTTCCCTAACAAGCCAATGATCTCCGACCACAAAAGGAGGGATGATGCCGGCTTTACCAATCCCAAAGCTTGCAGTCGCAGCAGCCGATGGCGAGAGAGGGGGAGAAAGGGAGGAGTTGCTTGAATCGCCTCCTTCTCTCTCTCTCTCTCTCTTTTTTTTGCAACTTACTACCGGTTGCAAAACGAAGGAGAAAGATAGATAGAAAGAAAAAAGAAAGAAAGAAAGAGGCGGAAGTGGAGCTCTGTCCTCACTTTACATGGGTGGGGGACGATGGGAGAAAGATTCCACCCCCACCCACTTTCCAGCAAAACACCGAGTTCAATCAAACGGCGCACCAGCCAAGAGTTTCCACGCGTGGGTTGTTTTAAATTTTATTTTGCAAGCGGAAAAGTTCCACCCCGGGGCGGAGAACAACAGCAAAGGAGCCCCGCCCGGACATGCATGGATGTTATGCATGCATGCATGCATGCATGCACGCAACCTTTTGTTTGTTTGTTTGCTTCCAATGCAAGCCACGCAAAAGGTCGCGAGCGCAGCGCCAATCCTCACCTGCCAGGATCGCCTTGCCCGGGTGCGTCAGCTTGGCTTTGCCGGCAGGGGCTGCGGCAGCCAAGCAGCGGGGTCTGGCGAAGGGGCTGACGAAGCCCGCGGGCGGCGGGGCGGAAGACATCGCGGTTGCAGCAAGAGGAGGAGGAGGAGGAGGAAGAAGAAGAAGACGAGGCGGCTAGTGCCAACCAAGCGGCCCGCTGCTCGGATATACCCCTCCGGGGGGCGTGATCGCCGCCAACCCTCCCGGCCGGCCGCCGCCCCCTTGCTTTCCGCCCGCCCTTCCCAGGCAGGCGGGGCAGCCGGGCGTCACGGCTCGTCCGGGCTCTGCGCTGCTTGGGAGGCGCGGCCAGCCCCGGAGGAAGGTGGGGCCGGCTGGCTGCATGGAGCGGAGTGGGCGCCAACCCGTGGGAAGCGTGCACGGGAGTGGAAGGGGGTTGCGTTCACACGAGCCGTCGCTTTGCACGGAGGAGAAAATCGGTGGCGTGGAGGACAGCCTGCTTCCTGGCTACATGGAGCGGAGTGGGCTCCACCCCCGCCCCCAACCCGTGGGAAGCGTGCACGGGAGTGGAGGGGTTGCGTTCACACGACACCCGCTTTGCACGGAGGGGGAAAGGCGGTGGCGTGGATGCCAGCCTGTTTCCTGGCTACGTGGAGCAGAGTGGGGCGCCACCCCCTCCCCCAACCCGTGGGAAGCGTGCACGGGAGTGGAGGGGTTGCATTCATTCACACGAGCCCCGTTTTGCACGGAGAGGGAAGCTGGTGGCGTGGATTCCAGCCTGTTCCCGCCTGCGTGGAGCGGAGTGGCCGCCACCTCCACCCCCCTCCGGGCAATGTGCACGGGAGTGGAGGGGTTGCATTCACACGAGTCCCGTTTTACACGGAGGGGGGAAGCTGGTGGCATGGATGCCAGCCTGGCAGCGCAGAGCATAGTAGGCTCCACCCCGCCTCCCCAACGTGCATGGGAATGAAGGGGTTGCATTCGCACAACTCGCTTTACACAGAGGGGGAAGGGTGATGGCGTGGACTCCAGCCTGTTCCTGGATGCGTTGGAGCAGAGTGGGCACCGGCCCCCCTGGGCAGCATGCGCTCACACGACCCCCGCTTTGCACCGAGGCTAGTGGCGTGGACGCCAGCCTGTTCCTGGCTTTGTGTGGATTTTCTTGTGCCTCCTTTAGTGGGGAAGGGCACTTTCTTTGCAACCCAAATTACCAAATGGGGTTATTTGGGGAAGGGGGTCGGGATCAACTCGAGGTGAGCTCTCCCTACAAGGAAGCTCAGTCCCGTTTAGCGGCAAGGAAGGAGGCCAGGGTTCTGCTCTTTGCTTCTTCCGTGTACCTGTGCACGGGACAGGTGGTCCCCCCTAGTGGCAATGAAGGAGATTTCAGACAGGTTTTAAAGGTGTGCGGCCCTCTAGTGGTCCCTAACAGAATGACACTGGGGACTTCCCCATGTACCTGAAGGTTTACCTGTTTCCTGTTTACCAGGGATGATTAAATTAACAGACTAACGGAATTGGGACCTCTGAGATCTTCTAGTCCAACCCCTTGCGCACCAGTCCAGCTAAGGTTCCCGAGATGGACTATACACTGAGCCACGGACTAAGCACACAGGCCGATGGGAAGACTGGATCTCTGGGGAAGCCTAACAGCTGGGCTCAGGTACAGGTAGCCCTCGTCTTACGACCACAATGGAGCCCAGCATTCATGTTGCTAAGTGAGAAACTTGTCAAGCGTCCCCGTTTTACGACTTTCCTTGCCACGTGTGTAAAGTGAATCCCTGCAATCGTTAAATGAGTAATGCGGTTGTTAAGTGAGCCTAGCTTCCCCACTGTACTTTGGCTTCTCAGCAGGTCAGGTGATCCCAAGGACACTGCAACCGTCGTAAATACGAGCCAGTTATATCAAGCATCCGGATGTCAAAATCACGTGACCAGGGAGAATGCTGCAATGGTCGCTAAGTGTGAACAGTGGTCATAAGTCACTTTTTTCAGTGCCCGGGTAACTTTCAACGGTCACTAAATGAACTGTTGTAAGTTGAGGGCTATCTGTACAAGCATGTCGGGGGAACTTCTGGAAGACTGGAAGGACCAATTAGGCAAAATCACAATGGATATCAGATCCGTGTATCTGCTATTCTTCAATAGAAGGGGTGTGTGTGTAAGTTATCTGTTCTGATCCAGACTTCCTGAGACCATAATTAATAATTACGCTTAGTCCAAACAACTCTTGTTTTATTTCAACGCTGGGAATTACGTTCATTCCCAGCCTGTAATGAGTCCTAGTTTCTCGAGATAAGCACCCACCTTTCTCTCCTTTGAATTGCTGCCAACAACTAAAGTGCCAAATGAACTGCAAAAAACCAACCGAAGTACAAAGTCCACACAGAGCTTCAAGGTTTAATCTGAACAGAGCGAACGACTTTGCTTCCTGCAAAGGTTTCTCTACTGCGGTTAGAATGCACTATTGCAGACTAATTCTGCCCACTGCCAACTGTTCGATTCTGTCCGGCTCAAGGTTGACTCAGCCTTCCGTCCTTCCAAGGTGGGTAAAACAAGGACCCAGGATGTTGGGGGGCAATACTCTGTAAACCACTTAAGAGAGGGCTGTAAAGTACTGTAAAGCGGTATATAAGTCTAAAGGCTATTGTTTTCTTCCATGGGGCTGCCAGATCCCTTGCGGCCCTATCGTTGTGAACCACACAGCGACACCGGTTTGGTTTATGTTTATAATTGAACTTCCATAATAGTCATGATTAGCACAAGATCCATAGCCATAAAATATACATGGTTATCTAATTTTGTAGTTGTGGTTGTTGTTTTAAGTACATAAAACCGTTAACGATATAAGTTCTCTGAAGAAATGGCACCAAAGTATAACGGGTTTCGGCCACCGTTCTCTTATCGGGGGAGAAGAATGCAAGGAACGCAGGTTGGCTTCATCGGACAGAATTCTGGCAAAGCCGAAAAAAATAATAATAAAAAAATTGACTTTCTGGGGTCAGTTCAGGATGCCCGAAAGGCTTAAAGGCTCTGTTCAAATACAACTAGAAGAGAAATTTTCAGGGTTGAGATATGAATAAAGCAAAATCTTACACTTTTGCTAGAATTCTCCTTAGCGTCGGTGTGATCCTGGTTGATCCAGGCCTTTGTTCTAACGTTTATAACTCAGCCCGGAACACGGATACGCCGATGTTGGCTTGCAAACCTTGGTAGTTGCATTTGTTTTGTGGGGGGTGGGGGGTGGGATGGGGTGTTTTAAACACCGGTTAACCCCCCTTTGTTGTCCTCGCCCTATGCTACTACAGAAAAAAAAACATCAGGGAAATACCTGTGGCGAAATAGGATCCAATTTATTCTCCAATCAAAGAGTTTCAAAAACTACTCCAAGAAGCATTTCTCCCACTTTTCTCTCTCAGTGGCCTTCTATCAAAACTACGACTCTTTTCCCACGCTACGCACTTAAATTCCCCCCCCCCGTTTTTTTTTTGGCCAGGTATTACAGACAGGAGGAATGGTGGAAGAGGAGCAGCGTGACCTGTGATTTTAAAAACGTGTCCCTCCCACCAGGAAGTTCCCAATTCCCAAAGCTAATTCCACCTTATTTGTCCGACTGCAGCGTTTGCTAAGAGTACCTTTGTAAGCGTTAACCCCTGGATGCTGTCCAGAAACAACTGGATTAAGCAAAAGAATCTCCACCCCACCCCACCCCCCCAAAAAAAACAGATTTTGCAGATGAAATAATAATAATAATAAAAAAGCAACAGCAACATCCTTCTTCATTTCCTGGACATCACATCTCCCTGCTCCCACCCAAACCCCAAATCTCCTATGGCCTGAAGAAGTTATTGCTGTCCTAATGGAGCAGAGATGCCAGAGTGCTTTTTCAGGTGGCCGGTACCAAAAATAAAACGAGCGGGACGGGGGAAGCCGCCTCGTGGAAATTTGAAATGGAACAGGACTTAGCAATAAATTAACAGTGTCCTTTTAGAGGTCTCTGAGCCGCAGAGGGCGCAGGAAGGCGGTCAAGCCAACGGAGGAGGTTGTCTGGTGCCTTCCGGGACCAAAAAAACCCCTTATGAAAATAAAAATAAAAGGGAAGGTGGGACGGAAAGAGATGACCGGCGAAAAGGTCGGTCGCAGTGCAAGTTACATGTTGAATCCATAAACCGGCGGCTGGCCGAATCCTGGCGCTGTCGGGTATGCGTACGGAAAGTTGGCCTGGGGAGGAACGGCGTTTGGGCCGGCCGTCAGCATCAGTTGCTGGCCTGCAAGGAGGCAGAGAGGATGGTTAGAAAACAGAAAGCCATCTCACCTGGACAGAACTATGTGGGGATTTAGGGGCCCGGAGACTAAATCGTAGGGTGAACGGTTGGAGAGAACTAGGTAGGTCTAGATCAGGGGTGTCAAAACTTGATTTTCATCCAGGGCCGCATCGCAGCTGTGTTTGACCTCAGGTGGGAGTGGCCAGCTCAATGTCACTCATTGAGGCTCCATTTTTGGCCATGTCGGTACTCCAGGGCTTCATTTTCGACCACAACGGCCTCCTGCAGCCCTCTGCCAGCGAAAACGTGAGCTCAAGAGGGCTGTGCACAGCCTCCCGGTGCTCCCTTTTCGCTGGCAGAGGCACCACGGGCTGGTCCTTTGCTGTTTTTGGGGTGGCCCCTGCAGGGCCAGATCTAAGCACCCCCTGGGCCGCATCCAAGCCCCGGGCTTTGAGTTTGACACCCCTGGGTCTAGATTATCGAAGAGAAGGAGCGAGGTTTGGGGTGGGATTCAAATTTTTTAACAATGAGATCGGTGGGCGTGGCTAAGTTGGTGAGCGTGGCTTGGTGGTCATGCGACTGGCTGGGCTTGGCCAACTCAATATCACTCACATCGAGGCACGCATCTCCTCACCTGGCCTCTCGTGACTGTGGGGATGCTGCAACAGTCGTAAGTGTGAAAAATGGTCATAAGTCACTTTTTTCAGTGCCATTGTAACTTTGAATGGTCACTCCACACAAGCAAAAGTACCAGCAAAGGAGGGGGAAAAAACTCCAGAGAAGTTCCAGAGACAGGAAGTCTAGGCCTGCCAAGACCGTAATAAGGGTTAACGGAGAGGCGGTTTCCGTAAGCAACACCAGAATGTTTCCTTCCTGCCTTCCTTACAGGATTAGCCCTGTAATTTCTTCTAACAACCGGTTCTCCAAACTGCTTAGAACGTTAACAACCGGTTCTAGCGAATAGGTGTGAACTGGAAGAATCCCAACCCCTGGGTGGGAGGACATTCATGGCTGTCTTCCGATACTTAAGGGGATGTCACGGAGGAGAGGACTGGCCTACTCTCCAACGAAGCTGAAGGAGCTTTTGGGTGAGGAGCAAAAGGTTTTCAAGGGGGGGGGGGGAAGGCCAAGAAAAATCCAGATGCCTTCTGAAAGGGCACCTTCGGGACAAACGACAGGAGGGTGTGAGCAATGGAGCCCACTGGTGGAATGAACTACAGAGTAGCATGGGGAAACCGGTACCTCCTCCTCTTCAGTTGGCACAGTTAGGCACGTAGGGTTTGCTTTGGGCATCTAAGGAGACGGAAATCTAGATTAAGGGAATCTTTTAATGTTAAGGGACAATATAGAAGCCCTGCAGGAACGACGCTGGAACAAACTGCAGTTAGATCTGTTAGTTCTTCGCCCCTGGCCTAAGCGGAGAATTAATTTTGCCACACGTCAAACACATGGGATGTGTGTGTTAATGATAGACATGCCTCATGCAGGGAAATACACCCCCCCCCCATGTAAATGCCATGCCCGCAGGCGGACTGACCTCTCCCATCAGGAGCTTCCTTTAATGGAACCTAGAAGGCAATAGTCAGTAAAATCTACCTTCTGCCAAATGATCTCAGTGAGGTTTTAGGCTGGTTGAGAAACATGACTTCCTGTCCTCGGGCAAAAATCTCCACCCACCTATCCACCCGCCCCAGGTTTCATTCCCCGACTTCTTGTTCCTTCTGGAAGGAAAATTTTTCCCCCCCTTTTCACGAGATCCGCTCGAGTGTTGGGGTGAAGATGCTGAAGGAGGAGCAGAGAGACCCCAGCCTTGTCCACCTTCCAACATGGAGATCCCTACGTAATTATGGGCCTGACACACTCTGTCTCTGTCTCTATCTATCTCTGTGTGTGTTTGTGCCTTTCTCTCTCTCTCAACCTGAACTGCAAGCTGGTACTTGTACAGAAACAGGTAAGGTGGACGGGGAACTAGGGCCAGGGAACTGGCTCAAAAAAACCTCTCAAATTTGTAAACCCCAAGAAACGTTGAAAGACTTATTTGAAGTAATCCAGAACTGTATCAATTAAAACCTTAGGGGGAAAAAAAATAAACTGAGCTAAGCTAAATTTCTTCTAGAATACTTATTCGTAATCCTACACCTCGTAGGAATTAGGAAAAGGGAGCAGAAGAGTTCAAGTCATCTAAATTCACGGAAGGCCCAGGAAACGAATACTAAAGGTTTATATTCCACTTACCAAATACTATAGGAGTAGGTTCTGGTACTTGCTCCTCGTCTTTCCTTAGGCTTTCCGAAGCATCGAGTTTATCCACCTAAGTTATAAGAAGAAAAACAGGATATGTTTAGAGAAGGCCCTGAGGCAGCCTGAGTTTGGTAGCCATCCTTAACCTTACCTTTCCCCAGGTAAGTCCCAAAACTCTTAAAGGCAGATCCCATTTCAAGTTGTCACCTGCCAGCTGCTTCTGTTTTAGAGGTCTCTGGGATGGGACAACCTGGTAGACACATTGCCTGTTTGGAAGCTAAGGGGTGAAATTTGCGTAGGATCTCGACTAAGGTGCAAACAAGGATGGGATAGTCAAGGGGACAGGATTAACCAGAGAGAGCGGCGGCTTTGATCCACTTTCAAAGTTCTCGGTGGATCCCAAGAGATGAACCACACAGGGAAAAATTGGGGGTGAGGGGGGCACCTTTATAAGGTGGGAGAGCAGATGACGGGTGTCCTTGCCAAATGGCAGCTGGGCAAATTAAACCTGCGCATCGTTCGTGGGATTGATCTCAAACCACTCATCTATCGATAGGTAAACTGGCAAGCTTTCCTCGTGAGCCCTTTTCTGATGGGAAGAGCCAAGAATCCCTAGGAGGCAGGAGTGAAGGGAGTCCTCAGCCTAGCATCGTTAACATTCTCACAAACGGTCTAAGCCCAACCTCTCTTGAATTCCGCTGACCCTTGCCGCCCGCCAATCTAGGTGGGACATTCTCACGGTACAGCCAAAAGCGTTCAGGCTTTGTTAATAGGAGGAATGTCTTTTGGGAACTAGCGGTTAGGTAGAGGCTCGAGTGATGGAAGTTAAAGCAACTTACGGTAAAAAGGAGGGGACGTTTATTATTGCGTACTAAAATTAGTTCTTATTTTAAAACCGGACTTAGGCTGCATGCGGTTTCTCGAAGACTGAAGGCTTAGTTAGACACTTACCACTTGCAAAATCCAACCAGACTTCAACCTGGAAGGGGCCACAATGGGCACTCCCCTTTGGAGTACAGTCTATCTTATTTATTTATTTAGTGAACAGATTGGATGAGGGTGAGGCTATACAGATAGTCTTCGACTGTTGTTTCATTTAGGGACCGTTTGAAGTTATAATAACGCTGGAAAAAATGGATACAACCATTTTTCACACGACCTCTGCAGAATTTCCCCTGTGGCCACGTGATTTACATTGGGCTGTTTGATTACCGATTCATATTTACTGTCAACTCAAAAATATTTCTTTTAGAGCTGCCAGCAGAAAGAGAGCGGAGGGGAGCAGTGCATTCCTTAGATAATTTCTAGGCAACTGAAGCTTCTGGCACGCAAGAGTATTATTGGAGAGCATGATTGATGACTCCTGCCTATGGATGTGTCTCATTGGAGAATATACATCCATGGGGTTGGGGAAAGACCAGGGTCAAGGGTGAAATGAATGATGTGTTTCAGAATCGGCTACACCCAGGTAGCAAGGCAGGTTCACTCCTAATAATTTTTTTTAAAAAACTCTGAGAGAAGTGGCTAGAGACTCATGAATTAAATGGGGGTGGACGCTGGAGCCCTGACATTTATGATGGTTCCAGTGTCCCTGGGGTCACGCGATCCCCTTTTGCGACCTTCTGACAACCAAAAGTCAATGGGGAGGCCAGATTCACTTAACGGCCGTGTCGCTCCCTTAACGACAGAGACTGACTTAGAACTGTGGCAACGAAGGTCATAAAATGGGTCAAAACTCGCTTGACGACGGTCCCTCAAAGCAACAAAAATTGTGATGGTTAAGTCAAGGACTACATGTATTCTCTTTTGATACTTTCCACAGAATAAGTAGCTAGTAACTAATTTTTTTCTTCTTCTTCTAACAGCTAGAAGTACTTTAGGTAGACCATTAATTCCAGGATAGGAAAGCTGACTTCTGGATTAAGAATCCTTCAAGAATGATCCAGTATGTCAGATACAATATTGAACATATACTATACTCTTGAACGCTTTTGGTAGTCTTCAGTGACAACCAGATGTTCTTACAAATAAGTAAATATTTTGGGTTTTCCTTCCCAACGAAGCAGATGGAAGTCTGGCTGGATTTGTCCAAGCTCTTTATGAAGTGATATTTACTATGATATTAGTTTAAATGAAGCTAAATTATTCTGCTTTTCGGGTGCAAGCTACAGGGAGACGGCTGGATCTTCAGATCTACTTTTAAGGACACCAATTAAAAACAACAACACAAGTGAGTAAAACTAAAGAGACCGTCACCTTATTAAACAGACCATCAACCTGTAAAGAAAATTAAAGAGGGGAATATTTAAAATCCAAAAAAACAAAAACAAAAAAAGAGGCCACAAAATCGAGTTCAAGAGAAACGCAAAAGAAAAGGTAACATTGTGGGGAGAAATGGAAGAAGGCCATGGAGTTAGGAAAGAGAAGCAAGAAAGGAGGACACAATATGTGAGGTTCTACACAACCTGCCTTTTACTCAATGTTTAATGTTGATTTACAAACAAGATAATAATAATTAATATTCATCATCATCATCATCTGTAACACCATCAAACATCCAGATTTGCCTGTCCTTGGTAAGGACTCGATAGGTAGACAAAAATGCCAAACCCAGTCTGAACATCTGGCTGACTGTGTGATGAATAATGAGGAGGAGGAGGAGGAGGAGGAGAAGAGGAGGAGGAGGAGGAAGAGGAGGAGGAGGAGGAGGAGGAGGAGGAAGAGGAGGAGGAGTCCTGGGGTCAAGTGATCCCAATGAGGAAGCCAGATTCACTTAAGTGTGACTAACTTAATAACTCTGGTGATTCACTAAACAATGGTGGCAAGAAAGATCATAAAAATGGAGCAAAGATCTCTTAATAACCGTCTCGTTTAGCAACAGAAACTTTGGCCTGCCTGTATTTCTAGGCCATAGAGAGCTTCTCAATTTATTTATTTATTTATTTAAAAAAAAATCCCAATAGCTCCTGGCTCCAGGGACCTAATGCAGACAGCAGCCTACCTGCTGTTGAAATTGTGCCTGCCAGGCTGTCTGTCTGTAAAGTTTAATTACAGGCATTAGCAATCCAGGTCTCCAAAGAATGATCAGCAATCAACAGCTTTAATTAAGCAAATGAGGCATCGGTGTTGATGGTCCCCTAGCACTCAAGATGTCTAAGTCATCCAGTAAGCTTTTGACAAGTTTTCTATCTATCTATCTATCTATCTATCTATCTATCTATCTATCTATCTATCACCTATTTCTATATTTATCTATATCAATCTATATCTATCTCTACATTTACATCTATCTATGTCTGTCTATTTATTTTTATCTATTTCTATCCATCCTTCCATCTACATCCATCCATCCATCCATCCATCCATCTATCTCTCTCTCTCTCTCTCTCTCTATTTCTATTTATCTATCTCTACTACATCTGTGTCTACCTATTTCTGTTTGTCTGTCTGTCTGTCTATCTCGATCTATTTCTATTTATCTATTTATCTATATCAATCTATATCTATCTCTACATCTACATCTGACTATTTTTATCTATCTATTTCTATTTATTTCTATCCATCCATCTACATCCATCCATCTATCCATTTATCTATCTTTGACTTATTTCTATTTATCTATCTATCTCTACATTTGTGTCTGTCTGTCTATTTCCATCTATTTCCATCTATCTATCCATCCATCCACCCATCCATCCATCTCTATCTACATCTGTATTAGTCTGTCTATTTTTGCAAGACCCCCTCCTTGCAGACAAAAAGCCGTACTTACTTTGGTAAGATACTCCCTCATCACCTGAATGAAGTAAGGCATCGCAAAGTCCATAATGTTGTGTCGCCACGCCAACTCCAGGACCACATCTGGATGCAGCAAGTCATAGCATGTGAAGAGAGAAGCTGCAAAACACTCTTTTTTATCCTCCTCCAGGAACCACTGAAGGAGTTTCTCTGCCAGCTCAGCGTCTTTGGACTCGGCTGCATATTGCATGGCATCCTAAGGAAAAACAACCTTGTCAGTTGAAATAGCTCTTCATTATTTTTATGTAAAATAACCCGTCAACTGTCAGTGTGGGGATGTGCATAATTTTGTATTCATTTATTTATCGTTGTCATGTTTATGTAGTGTAAAATTGGAGGTGCGGGCCTTTTGAGAGCTGTATGCAATGAAATTTCATTTTAATGTATACCAATTAGTGTACATTCAAAGTGACAATAAATTCTATTCTATTTCTATTCCATTTCTATTCTATTCCATTTCTACTTCTATTCTATTTCTACTTCTATTCTATTCCAATTTCTATTCCATTTATATTTCTATTACAATTCCATTTCTATTTCTATTCTACTTCATTCTTGTTCTTGTTCTTGTTCTGTTCTGTTCCCTTCTAATTCTTATTCCTATTCTATTCAGTGGCGGCTAACATTTTTGGGCTCCTGTGCCAAAAATTGTGTGCACACGCTCATATGCCAGCACCCAGAAGGCAATGCACATGCCACATCCCACGCCCCCTATGTATGCGCGCACAATCCTCCCCATGCCCCCTTACCTGCACTGTGCCTCAAATCTGATTTTTGGCCTCCCAGAAGCTTGAAAAGTCTCTGAAGCTTTTCAGGATGGATAATAGGCCCGTTTCGTCACTTCCGGTATTACAGGAAGTGACCAAATGGGCCTATTATTCATCCTGCAGAGGCTTTTTTCAAGCCTCTGGGAGGCCAAAAAAGGCCTCAAACCAGCCAAAATATCAGCTGTGAGACACGTGCATGTGCAGTGAGGTAAGTTTGCCTGCGGCTCACATGCCGGCACAAATGGCTCTGCGTGCCACAGGTTCACCATCATGGGCATTGCGAGTCCGGCCTTGATAATAACAAACCCCAGACAGAAGAGAGATCCTAACCAGGAGTTGTAACAGTCCTTGATTTACGACAGCTCGTTTAGGAACCGTTCAAAGTTACGATGGACCTCAAATAAAAGGTACTACTTATGACCCAGGAATCAAAACCCCAGAACTACGCCTTTCCGTGCCCGTTTGGTAAAAGATGCCAACTGACCTTATAAAGCCGATCTTTCTTGCAGAGTTCCACGCTCTGTTTCCACCGGTTATTGCCTTTGTACAAATAGGCGGCGATCCGCCGGAACTCAATTAATTTGTGCTTTTCAAGACGCTGAGCCAAGGTGATGTTATCGAAGTTGTCATAGGCATCGATAGACGCTCGCAGGCCCTGTTAGGAGGCAGAAAAGGACCAGGTAGGGGTTAAAAGACCTTGCTGAAAAGACCCAGAGGCCCCGTGTTTGTTTTTAATTATTACATTTGTATGCCACCCGATTCCTGATAACTCTGATCGTTTCCTCCCAAGTAAAAATGTTTATAGGTCATCCTCCAGTTAACAATTTGTTCAGTGACCATTCCAAGTTGCAACGGCACAGAAAAACATGACTTATGACCGGGGTAGATCCCCGCAGTCATGTGATCAAAATTCAGATGCATGGCCACCAACTCGTAGAGGCCGACTCTGCGAACTGCTTAAGAGAGAGCTGGAAAGCACTGCGAAGTGGTATATGTCTAACTCTACTGCTATTTTCTTCCCTCCCTCCCTAGGTTAGAATGCAGCATTGCAGGCTAACTGCACTGCCCACTGCCAGCAGTTCAATCCTGACCGGCTCAAGATTGACTCAGCTTTCCGTCCTTCCTAGGTCAGTAAAATGAGGACCCAGATTGTTGGGGGGCAAGAGGCTGACTCTGCAAACCGCTTAGAGAGGGCTGTGAAGCACGATGAAGCAGTATATAAGTCTAAGGGCCACTGCTATTCCATGCAAAATGGAACTATGAATTCTACAAATGGTTATTCCAACATTTTTAGATGACTCCTGTTGACTAAGGGACTCTTGACACATCTATGGGTCCACCAACAAGAACAGAGCAAGCTGCAAAAAATTCAGGTGGTCACGAGATCCAGGCTGTATCCACACACTGTTGTTAGGTGCGCAAGCCTCCTTCCAAAACTCACTTGGTAATCTTCCTCCTCGGTCAGAAGATTGTTCAGTGCCTCGTTGACCCCTTTGTTGTTGTGATTCTGGACCGAACGCAAGTAAGGTTTCACGAGAGGTAGCTGATTAACCTACGGAAGAAAGCAAACATTTAAGGCCAAACAAACAAACAAAAAAAAAGACATTTATTTATTTGGAAAACTCATATAGCCGCCTACACACGCACAGAGATTCTAGGCGGCTTACAGAAAATAAAAACACAATGTAGATAAATAAATAAAAAATAATAAAATAGTAACCCACCCAAATCTTTGATAATGTTTGATGGGTGCTCACCAAAATTCATCATCCAAGCCACTGTAAAAATGGAAGCTTGCCTTTTTCCAACACCCCCCGCCCCCCCTGCCCAATCTTGCAAGATAAAATGTATGGAAAACATCTGGAATTTAAACTCCACAAAACCCTCGGGTCCACTTATATAAATCAAAGCAGTGCATCTCAAAATTAGAAAACCTTCCTTTTGCCTTAGACCAGGGGTCCCCAAACTCGGCAACTTTTAAGACTTGGGTGGACTTCAACGCCCAGAATTCCTCCTCCAGTCATGTTATCTCCAGGAATTCTGGGAGTTGGAAGTCCACAAGTTTGGAGACCTCTGCCTTAGCCCAAGGCTCTCCAACCGACAGGCCACGAACAAGCTGGGAAACAGGAAGCTGGAGGTGAGCGGCAGGCGAGCAAAACCCACAACCGTTCCCACTCTCCTTTCCCCAGTCTGTGGGGGAAAAAAAAAGGCCTTCCACAAAACCGGTCTCCGGTGCCGAAGAAATTGGGGGACGGCTGCCTTAAGACCATTCCATCTGAACTGGGTTATTGTCCGATTCTTTGCAGAAGTGGGTCTTTTCACTCACCTTGGCGAAAAAGCTGACCGTCCTCGTGTGATCCAGCCGTGGAGATAAGACGAGGAGGAGATCGTTGATCAGCAACGGTTTGTAATCCAAATAAAACTGCAGGGCTCGGTAATACAACTCCACGTTGGCAACCTGGAGGATTAAGAATAAGTGGGGAAAAAAAACCCCGTTAAGCCTCTTAAAATGGGACGTTCCATTTAACAATCCCCCAACGTTGAAGAACCCATTTCCCAAGACTTCAACCCTGTGGAACAGATAGGTGTGGTGTCAGCCTTCCAGTGAAACTCCCCGTTTCATTCAGCATTCAGAAACCAAGTTCTTAAAATTAAACTTAAAGATAAGGAAGAGTCAGAGTGCTACTTAACATGGGACATATTGTATAATTGGATAAAAAACTGAAACAGAGATTAGTGTTAAATAAGGAAAGAAGATCAACAGAACACATATATACAGAGATAGGGGAAGAAGTAAGAATAAACAATGTAAAAAAGTATATTTAGGAACTGTACATGAATTGTCATAGGCTACAATAAGCAGTGAAATTATACTAGGAAACAGTCAATGTAAATAAAAATCGTAATAATAAATATAGATCGTAAGGGTACAAGCGACAAAGTTACAGTCATACAGTCACAAGTGGGAAGGGAATGGGTGATAAGGAGTGATGAGATAATACAGGTAGAAATTAGAAGTTGGAAGAATACTATTTTATATATAAGTAAAGAATATTATTACTACTATTATGTATATATATAAATTGACCACAATACACTGTTTACTAAATATTTATATACGTTAAAGAAAAATGCATAAATGAATAATTTAAAAAAAAGGAATGTCCTTGGGTCACTCTTGAACGCCCTTCCACTTCAACTGGTCCAACTGTAAGAGGGAACAAGACAAGCCACAGCACCATCAATATTTATAGCCGTTCACCTTGGCGATGATGTCTTTGAACTGCCCTTCCTTCCAAGCATCCGTCGGATGGTTCATCATGGTAATGATTGCGTTGTCATATTCTTCGTATTTGTCGTAGAGGAAGACAAGCTCTCCCCAGAGGTGGGCATGTTCAGCCGCTTTAAGGACCTTGAGGGGAAAAAAAAAACCACAAGAGAGGGTTTGGAAGTCCCAAGAGTGAAAAGGAAGACAAGTTGGCAGGAGCTGAGGCAAGGAGGATGGGAGTTTTAAACATTTAGTCCCTAACCGTTGAAGAAGCAATATCAATATTTACTTGACTTCAGGAACATCAAATACCTTTGGGATATTGACTCTGGACCAGAACAGCTCCAGATGTTCTCTCATCTTCTGGGGTTTATATTTGGAATATAAAATAGCAAGCTCGGTAAACATTCCCATGTGGGCCCGTTCCAGACCGAGAGCTGCTTCCAAGAGACCGATCAGTTCCTCAAAGTAGCCGCGGCCCTGTGAGTCGAGAACACAACAGGGTTAAGCAGCTTGGATGGATCACATTTGCAGATGAACAAGATCAGAAGACAATCCACTGAACCATCCGGACAACCAGTCAACCAGAGAAACCATCAGCGGCTCAGAATTTAAACATAAATCCAAACAGTTTAAAGCAGTTGTTCGCATGCGTTACGATAAAAGCTAATCATATTTGGACAGAACTAAAAATGAGCAAGAGAAATTTATCGGGGAGATTAAAAATGGAATACGGCATGCCAAATTCCATTCTAAAATGTAAATAAAAAATTCAGCTAAACGTGTACATCTTCCAGGAATGGTCTCCAGGTTCTAAGGTTTGGTGGGATTTTTAAAAATGCTATATTGTCCAAAACGAAGCTGGTTTGAGGCTCATTTGTACCACAAAAATACAATGGCTGATTTTTTTTTAACTTTAGCAGTTCAGTGGGAGGAAGCTCGACAGAAGGGCCTTTAATAAGTTTGATGCCATCATCAAAGCGAAAGGAATCCTACCTGGTAGTAGCTGATCAATTCTTCAAGTTCATCCGCGTGAATGACGATGTGCAAGCCACATATCTGCGCAAGACGGAACTCCTTTCCATTCACGCAGGCAAAACACACCTGCCACAAAAGACACTCTTAGCAAAAGGGAACAGTCGAATCCAGTCATTCAGTTTGTCAGCCAGAAGTTCAGGCTGGAATTGGCATTTTTGTCAACCGACTAAAAGTCCCTCCCAAGGACCTGGGATAGACAGAGGTGGTGGTGCAATGGTGTTAAGAGGTATCGTCGCAGGATGAAATTGACCGATGGCGATTTTGTCAATACCGATGGTGCTCAAGTGGTGCTCCAGATGTTTTTGGGATCACACCCCAGGCGTCTTACCACTATTGGTACTGAGATATATATGAATATCAATAGCTCGGCTTGGTTAGTTAGGCTGTTGAGTTTGAGCGCCGAACTTGGCAATTTGGTTGCAAATGTTTTGTCACTGTCCGAGGAGACATTGTCAGTGTGCTTTGAGTTGGGCTCATCTGTCCGTGCACTGGCCTTTAAGTTCCTTTGTGTGATGCAAACTGTCGTTGGTGTTGTTTGTTCAGACCAATGCTAACTTGCATCACACGAAGGTACTTAAAAGGGCCAGTGTTCTGACAGATGAACACAACTCAAAGCGCACCGACGATGTCTCCTCGGACAGCGACCAAATGTTTGCAGCCAAATCGCCAAGTTTGGCGGTCAAACTCAACAACCTAACGATTGGTATTATCTTTGCTTTACTGTGGATTATAGAATTATTATAAGTTCTCCCAAATCACAAAGCTGCATCTCACTGACTTTGGCTGTATTATGCGGGGAAAGAATTCACTGGAGGAAGCAAAGAGTTATCGGTAAAGGAAAACCAAGCCACCCAAAAACACGGTGGCTGGACACCATCAAAGTGAGCCCTGGCCAGAGCATAGAACAGCTCAAGGAAACAGTGCCAGGCTGGAAGATCTGGAGAGACCTGCCCCATAGAATCGGCAAGAGTTGGACACGACTGAATGGATATAACATCATTACAGGTACTCCTCCACTTACGACCATAATTGAGCCCAGAATTTATGTTGCTAAGTGTGGAATTTGTTAAGCGAGTGGGTTAGGGCCCCATTTTACAATTTTTCCTGCCACATTTGTTAAGTGAATCACTGCAGTTATTAAGTCAGTAACACGGTCGTTCAATGAATCTAGCTTCCCCCGTTGACTTCACTCGTCAGAAGGTCGCCGAAAGGAATCACGTGATTCCCTGGGACGCTGCAACAGTCGTAAGTACATGTCAGTTGCCAAGCATCCGGATGTAAATCACGTGGCGGGGGGGGGAGGCTGCAAGAGTTGTAAGCGTGAGAAAACGGTCGTAAGTCACATTTTTCGGTGCTGTTGTAACTTCGAACATTCGCTAAACGAACTGTTGTAAGTTGAGGACTTCGTGTACTGTATTCTGCATATCGACCGCCACAAAAGGGATTGAAAAAATCAGGTCTGGTCCCAGGATGGCCTATTAAATGACCGGCATGACTTGATTCCAGGCTCAATGATGGTCTTAAGTCAAGGACTAGCTGTGTCTCCCCGCCCCCCCCCGAACAGTGCCAAGCAAGTCACCTCCTTCCACGTCCTGGTGCTGTTGGCTTTGCGAGCGCTATCGACAGCTACTTGGTATTCCCCCAGGTGCACCAAGGTAGAGGCCAGGCGCGCAAAATTCGACACGTTATTGTAGAGCAGCTTGGCCGCATCGTACATCCCTTCCTCGTAGCAGCGATCGCCGACCTGAAAAGGAGACAGAAGGCAAAGCCAACCAATGACAAAGGCGCACGACGTGAGGGCCAGCCTCGGCATGCTAAGTCACCAACCATGAATTAGATAGAGTTGGTCTTTGCTGTCCTTCTTAGGGTTTGCCCAACCTAGTTACAAGGTCTGCTTGTTTGGCCATGCATTACCGGTGCTTGATAGCAATAGAGCTCAGACTTACGTACCATTTTACAGTGCTTTAGGGCCCTCTCTAAGTGGTTTACAGAGTCAGCCTCTTGCCCCCAACAATCTGGCTTCTCATTTTACCCACTTCGGAAGGAGGGAAGGCTGAGTCAAACTTCAGCCTGGTGAGATTTGAACTGCCAAATTGCAGTCAGCCAGCAGTCTGCAGAAGTAGCCTGCAATACTGCACTCTAACCACTGCACCATCGTGGCTCTTATGATGCAACCAGTTTTTCTTCTTTTTCTGCGGTTTCCTAGTTGTTAGATATTTTCACAATCTGTAAATCGCCCAGACTCTCTTGAGAGTCAGGCAACTGATGCCTTTAAACATTTATTATCATTATTAATTGCTACATCATGTCATTTCTTAGAAATGATGTTTAATGAATTGTGCTCAAAGTTTAAACAGGGGGGTCTTCAAACTTGACAGCTTTAAGACTTGTGGACGTCAACTCCCAGAATTCCTCCTCCAGTCATGTTAGCTCAGAAATTCTGGGAATTGAAGTCCACAAGTCTTAAACTTGCCAAATTTGAAGACCCTTGGTTTTAAACCCCCAAATGAAATTTAATATTGTCAGCTGCCCAGAGTTAACCTGTGGCAAGGTAAGCAGCCAAATAATTGGAGAAATAAACACGTAAAATGTACCTGCTGTATGTGTGCGTTGTTAGGGCCGCTGACAAATTCTTCTAGCTCTGAAAGTCGGTTTGTTTTGGCTAAGGCAAAAATCAGTTCTGTCTCAACGTAAGACTCTCTGGCTTTCTTCTGAGCCATTTGCAAGAATTTGACCAGGTCCTCCCAGTTATCTTGAACACAAAAAGAGACAACGAATAATTTATTTTACAATTACAATTTCAGGATGTTGAGCATTTGCAAAAACCAGCCGTGGAAGGAATGGAAGAATGCTGCTCCCAGCAATGTGAGGTTTTCTGATACATTGACAAAGTGATCCCATACAGATTAAATATTTTAAGGAACTATTTCTTTAGTATCTTTATGTTTTAAGCTACACGTACCCCTCGACTTGCAACCACAACAGAGCCCAAAATTTCTGTTGTTAAGTGAAACATTTGTTCAGCTGAGTTCTGCTTTGTTTTAGGGCCTTTCTTGCCACCATTGTTATGTGAATCCCTGCAGCGGATAAGTTAATAACCCGGTTGTTAAGTGAATCTGGGCTTCTCCGTTAATTTTGCTCATCCGAAGGGCACAAAAGGAGATCACGTGACATCAGGACACTGCAAAAGGGGATCATGTGACCTTAGGATGCTGCATGTATGTTATAAATACATGCCAGTTGCCAAGCATCTGAATTTTGATCACGTGATCAAGGGGATGCTACAAAGGTGGTAAGTGTGAAAAATGGTTGTAAGTCACACTTTTCAGTGCTGTTGTTAACTTTGAACAGGCGTTATTACAAACTGCTGTAAGCGAGGACTACCTATAGTTTAAACAACTGTGCACATTGCCTCATACAACAACAGACTTTCACATTTAGAGTGTCACACAGAGATTTTTCGAGCCAGATTCTACACGGTCACATTTTTAAGCAAACCAATGCAACTAATATCTTAAAATAATCTGCCTGTTTAAAAAAAAAATTGCTTTTCTGGATTATAAGCAGACTCCCTATTTAAAACTGTGTGTTTTAAATAGATATACCTATCAAAATATGTACGCCGAGGTAATACGAACATCGCAAAGTGCAAAAAGAAAGAAAGAAAAAGTAAAGTATATTCTTGCATGGTTTTGAAAAAAACAGACTTGGAGCAATTAGAAACTGTTACGTATCAAATGGTGGCTTAGTTAAGAAATGAGGTGGGGGGGGAAATTCTGATATTCAGCTGCAAGTCAAAAATTGGGTTTACCGTTTCTGTTCGCTGCTTGCACCACCTCCATATAGGCAGAAGGATCGTCAGCCTTTATGTAAGAATCGATCGCTTCCTTAACCAAATCTTTCTGCAGCTGAGCTCTGCCCAGCTGACTCCACACAGCCGGCTCATTACACCTCTCGGCAAATTCGTAGGCACGGTCCAAATTGCCGATGTGTTCTATCAACACCTATACAAAGGGTACAAGGTGAGATTTCAGAAGCCCCCTTAGGAACAAGGGGTCGAGGTTTTTCAAGGGAGGAGACAGGGCCAACCACCTGAACCAGAGGGCACAGATGCCCAAGTTTTAAGACTTTGCGGACTTCAACTCCCAGAATTCCTGGCTAAGGAATTCTGGGAGTTGAAAGTCCCACAAGTCTTAAAAAGTAGCCAACTTGGGGAGATCCCAGGTTTAAACCAACACTAGGAAGGAAAAGCGGGGGGGGGGGGGAAATGGGAGCTCTCTTTGAAAGTCAATCAAGTGCCGATTTCAGCCCCACCTGAATGGCGGAAGTGTTGACATCAAACTTCCGGAAGATGGCGAAGGCTTCCTCGAAGAGCTCATTGCTGATGGCAATGTTGGCGATATCCGGAGCATCGTAGTTATCCAGCCGGTTGATGTACTCCATCACCCGAGTGCGGTCGGCTTTGATGGCCGTCAAGATTAAGAGGTTCTGCAGATTCCTTGCCAGAGTTCACAAGGAAAAGGTTCAAGCCAGCAGATTCCAGCAGTAGAATCAATTTACAACAATTCAATTGGGTTGGGATTAGATGATGATTAGTTTAGATTTAGATTGGGATTAGTTTCGGTTTCAGAGCAGTGACCAGCTTTACTCCAGAACCGTTGAGCTAAGCCACGCCCAGGCTCCTTGCTGTCTCCTTCTTGCCCACACAGCAAATACTGTTTTACTTTCCAAACAGCCCTCAACTCTCTCACACGCTGACAGGATGCTAGCCAGGTGAATACTGATGGACGCCGGTAGGCAGAGGCAGAATTTTTTTCCCCCCTTATTTTCCTCCCCGAAAACTAACCCTGACCACGTAGTTTTGTAGCGAAGAGCGGGTACCCTGCTAGTTATGTCATGTAAGGTAGAAACGGCCTTTCCTACCTGTGCTCGCTAAAGACCGAATTGTCCAGGACGATCTTTTCCAGCAGCTCAATCAGTTCGTTGGGGAGGTCGGCGGTCATAAACGCCTTCACTGTCACGGAAACCTCTTCGGGGTCTTGAGTTTCTGACAACGCCGTCTGGACAACCTGGTATTTGGAAAATAGGACTGCCGCTTACAACCCTGGCCCGTTGAAGAGCCAAAAGCAGACACACACTTTGATGGGCAGCGAAGAACAGAAAGTGGAAGTGGGAATCAGTGGATGGGTTTGGTACAATCGGGACACGAAATTCTTCAGAAGATTCGCTTAGCAGGCAACTTAGTCATTCAGCTGTTAACTGAATTGGTTTTATTTTATTTATTTTTTTCACCCAAGAGGGAAAATTCTACTTAGGAGGGAGCTTAGAAGTTTCTTCTCCAAATAGCTGTACCAAAACGAGAAGGAAAAGTTGGGATTTGCCTTCTCCCTGGTTTTACGCAATAATGCAGGGATGATGGACCCCAAATTTATCTGGTTATTATTTATTCGGTATAGAGTGTCCTGCTTGAGCAGGAGGTTGGACTAGAAGACCTCTAAGGTTCCTCCCAACACCATTCTGATTAATTGATAGATTGATTGATTGATTGAAGCAGGACTTGCTTTGTGTTTGGGTGTCCTTAGAAATTAAAGAGCAAATCAGCCATGCTAATCTAATTTAAAAAGGAAAGGGTGGACAGGATAATGTTTAAGGTTCTGGCCTAGAAACCAGGGGACTGTGAGTTCTAGTTCCGCTTAGGCATGAAAGGATGACTTTAAGCCAGTCACCAGGAGATGGTGAGTTCTAGTCCAGCCTTAGGTATAAAAGCTGGCTGGGCAACTTTGGGCCAGTCACCAGGAGATGGTGAGTTCTAGTCCAGCCTTAGGTATAAAAGCTGGCTGGGTGACTTTGGGCCAATCACCAGGAGATGGTGAGTTCTAGTCCTGCCTTAGGAACGAGAGCCATCTGCGTGACTCGGGGCCAATCCCTTTCTCTCAGTCCTGCCCACCTCACAGGGTCGTTGTTCTGGGGAAAACGGGAGAAGGAAGGAATATTAGGTATGTTCACCGCCTTGAGTTACTTCTACGAAGCAATAAAGGCAGGATAAAAATCAAAGAAGTATGATTTTGATGTTGTCTCTCGTGAAGAACAGGGCAGGTATCTATTCTTATTCATTCCTCGGTCCCATCCTATAACCTGGTTTTGCAGATTCCCAATCTCTCAATATACCTGATCAATGAGGGGTCTTCTGAAGGGGTTGTTTTCCTCCAAAACACTGACCCACAATTCTGGATCTTTTCTTCGCACCAAGTAACGAGCTTCGCTCTTAAATAAAGAATTCTCGTTGCAAACCTGGAAAAAAAAAAAAGCAACAGGAAAGGAGAAGGCTGGTGTTTAAAAACTAGCGTTCAGATCAGCTGGTATTTGAAAGAACTTGAAAATTAGTGGCAGCCATGTTTCAAACATGGTGGATTTATTATTATTTTTATATTAGTTTCTACGGCTGAGCGGTGCAATGGCCTAGAGGTGGCGTTCTCGCCTCTCAATCAGGAGGCTGTGAGTTCGATCCTAGGTAAAGGCAGATATTTCTCTCTCTGGGAACAATGAGAATACATCTGCTGAATAAAACTCCTCATTGGCGACAGGAAGGGCATCCGGCCCTTCATATTCAATGTCAATGTTCCCTCACCTTGATGAGCTCGAGGTCACACTGCCCCCTTTCATAAGCCACACAGGCCAGGTGAGGGTCTCTCTTTTCACAATACTTTCCAACAACGCAGCTGTCGTAAAAGGGATTCTCCCGCAGGAAGCGCTCGGGGTTGTTGTTGCTGTCGATGTAGATTTTCGCCAGGGCGTTGTGCGTTGCCGGCTCTTCGCAGCCTTCGTGAATCCGGGACTCCAGCCAAGGCAGGAGCAGCTTAAGCCTGGAAGAAGAACACGCATCTTTAATTCGCTCTGTTGCTAGTCAACATTTAACCCAGGAGTCTTCAAACATGGCAGCTTTAAGACTTGTGGACTTCAACTCCCAGAACTCCTCCTCCAGTCAGGTTAGCTCAGGAATTCTGGGAGTTGAAGTCCCACAAGTCTTAAAGCTACATGTTTGAAGGCTCTTGATTTAACCGATTGATCAATTTATCTTAGAATGCAGGACCGCAAGCTAATTCTGCCGACTGCCAGGGTACCCCACCCCCCACAAGATACCTTTGTTGCACAAAAGCAACAAAGTCACAAAAATAGGTACAGTCCGTTTAATACCTCCAACTTGGTCCCCAACATCCAGTTATCCTCGGCTGGAGAAAAAACTCTCCCAAGAACAGTTTTTAAAGGGAAGAAATTCAGTCCAAACCCAAGGTACATATAAGTTATATAAAAAAAAAACCCAACACAAACCACACTGCAGCAATTAACGAGGCAGGATAAGGAATTGCAGACTTCAAAAGATAACGAAACACATACAGCTGGGAGGACGCCAGAACCCAGATAAGACTTTACAAAGATAATTCCAGCAAGGTGCTGTGCACAGGTTCCTCTTATAAACACTGTGTTCCCAGCTGCAGCTAATGAAGGGAATCAGGGCCCTTTCCTCCACTGTAAGCCATGCAACTCACGTTGCTCCCTTCTCCATTCCTCCCTGCATGCCCTAGGATGAAAGGGGGGGGGGCGTCCTCCGAATTCCCTCTCCCTTATTTTACCTCTCCCCTGCTCTGCCCAGCCGGACTGTGCCCTTCCCCAGTTTCTTCCACAGCCACCGAAGCCACACTCCCATTTCCTGTCAGCTGCTCGACCTCCCCCTCGGAATCAGCTTCCAAAAGGGGCCTGACAGCCATTGTAATCGCTCTTGGGAAATAAAATATTTTGAAGAGCCCTGTGGGTCTCACCTGTTCCTTTTCTCGACTTCGGCTACCAACTCGTCTGTCGAAAACTGACCTCTCACCACCATGATCAAGTTCTTAATGACGTCTTCGGAGCAGTCCACATCTAAGAGTCCTCCGACAACTGCAGGGATGCGGCTGGGGTTGACCTGAAGCGGGGGAAAAATGGTTCCGTTTCAAGGGTTTGCAATCCCAACGTGGTGTAAGCCGCTCTCTGGATCGCAACGTTGAAACCTCAAGAGTGCTACAGGTGGTTCTCAACTTGCGACCACAATCAAGCCCAGCGTTTCTGTTGCTAAGGGAGACAGCTGTTTGCTTTGCCCCGTTTTACAACCTTTCTGGCCATGGCTGTTAAGCGAATCGCTGCGGTTTTGTTAAGTTAGTAACACTGTTGGGAAGCGAATCTGGCCTCCCCGTTGACTTTGCTGGCAAAAGTGGGGAATGGAAGGATTTCTACTCCTTGCAGACAGCTGGTCATTTGCATTCTTTTTAGAGTCATTGAAGCCACTTGGCCTGTTTTCCAGAGAGCCCCCGGAGCCCGGAAAGGCTGTTTTGGTCCTCCCAGAGGTTTGTGGGAAGCCTCCGGAGGGCAAAAATGCAGGAGGCCAACTAGGCCACGCCCACCCTGGCCACCAGGCAGAGAACCCGTTGCTAAATTTTTTGAAGCTCATCCCAGTTTGTAAAGTAACTTTGATCTGTGAAGGAACACTGAATCTTTTCAGTGGAGTTGCAACTTCAAACAGTTGTTAAATAAACAGTTCTAAGTTGAGGGCTTCGTCTATACAGATGGAATTCTAGGAATTGAAGTTGACATGTCTTAAAGTTGCTACGGTTGACATACACTCCAAAGGATCTACTACTTTAACGGCTCTTACAATACCTTTAACAACGAAATGTACCGTACCTTCTGAACGTATATCTCAATGTACTTCTGTAAGTTGTTGCGGTACAAGTAAAGAACCAGGTCGTGAACAAAGTCAAATCTGTCGCAGACAATGATCAAGGGAAGTTGATCGGTAAGCTTGGCTTCCTACATCGGCAGAGAAAGAAACAGACAAAACAAAAAATCAGAAACTATTAAGGAAAGAAGTATAATAATACGTCTTTTTTTTTGTTCTTCTTTTTGACCTGTGATCCCACTAAACAATGAGAGGAAAGCTGTAATTCGGCACATCGAAAAGATGATATGAATTATGTAAGTGGGGACGAATGTTTGGGCGCAGGTGCTGCCCAGGAGCAAAGAAGAGGGCGCCAACCGATTCTCCAAAATAGGCAGGACAAGAAGCAATGGGTGGAAGATTATCAAGGAGAGAAGCAACCTAGAACTAAGGAGAAATGTCCTGAAAGTTAAAACAATTAATCAACGGAACGATTTTTCTCCAGAAGTTGTGGGTGCTCCAATATGGAGTTTTTTTTAAAAAGAGATTGGACAACCATTTGTCTGAAATGGTATAGGGTTTCCTGCCTGATCAGGGGGTTGGACTAGAAGACCTCCAAAGTCCCTTCCAACTCTGTTATTCTGTTCTGAATTCAAGCTGGAAAGAAGCCATGATTTGAAGCAGACTTGATTCAATTCCCAAGAAAACTCTTTTTAACCACCAAGCTGAACTATGTTGACAGTGACACACGAGGAGGAAATATATGTTATTTTGTGGAAATACAAGACTGGTTCCTATTCTTATACTGTGTACACCATGTTGTAGGATGAGAGGGCCACAATTCACATTTTCAGCTAACCAAACACGACAATATTGCTATTTAGGTTTAACTGTACACACATATAGTTTATGAAAAACGCACGTATCTTTTCCAGAAGCCTCCTTCAACTGATAAATGGATTCTTTCTCCCTTCCTCTTATTCTCTTTGTACTATTATTCTGGCAGCCTCTTGAGGTGAGGGTTTAATTTTTTCTCCTCGGGGAAGGAAAAACCAGCCTCCAATTTTATGTCTGACAAAGGGCAGCCCCGAGATTAATCTCCCTGGGATGGGATATGAGACTTCGAGGTGAGAAATCGAAAGCTTTTTAAATCTTCCCTCAGCCGTTGCGATCAGCAGGTATTCTCACAGGTTAAGAGGGGATCAAATGAAGGGCGGCGGGATTATAAGACAGCATTCAAGCACCCCGTTTAATGCCGCCTGCTTTGCAAAGCTCACCAAGCAGAATTACTCCATGTTGATCCAGAATAAAGCCAGAGCAGCAACCCCTGTTTTCATTCTTTGTGGAAGGACTATATAGTCCAATTGTTTGGTTTAGTGCTTAAGGCTAGAAAACGGGAGCCCCCGAGTTCTAGTCCTGCCTTTGGCATGAAAGGCGGCTGGTGACTTTAGGCCAATCTTAAGAAAAATGGGAGTTCTAGTCCCACTTTAGGTATAAAAGCTGGCAGGGTGACTTTGGGCCAATCACCAGGAAAAGGTGAGTTCTAGTCCTGCCTTAAGTATGAAAAGTGTGACGTTGGACCAATCTCCAGGGGACTGGGAGTTCTAGTCACACTTTAAGCATATAAAGCTGGCAGGGTAACTTTGGACCAATCACTAGGAGATGGTGAGTTCTAGTCCCACCTTAGGCCAGACTGTAAGTTCTAGTCCCACTTTAGGCATAAAAAGTAACTGGGTGGGATTGGGCCAATCTCCTGGAGACTGGGAATTCTAGTTCCATTTTAAGCATGCTGACAGGGTAACTTTGGACCAATCTCCAGGAGATGGTGAGTTCTAGTCCTGCCGTAGACATGAAAGCCAGCTGGATGACTTTGAGCCAATCCATCTTCTCTCAGCCCATCCCACTTCACAGGGTTGTTGTTGTGGGGAAAATAAGAGGAGGAAGGAGTGTTGGATCTAGTCACTGCCTTATTTGTAAAAAAAATAAAAAAAATAAAAGTGAGATACAAACAAACAAACAAATCGCCTAAAACAGTGTTTCTAAACCTCAGCCATTTGGAGATGGGTGGACTTCGACTCCCAGAATTCTCCAGCCAGCATGCCAGGAATTCTGGGAGTTGAAGTTCACCCACCTTAAAGCGTTGGGATGAGGCTGAGAAACGCTGGCGTGCGCAGAAACTCTACCTTCAGGAAATTTTTCACTCGTTCTGGATTGTAACAGTTGCTTTCGCGGCAGATCCTTTCCACCTCTTTGATTTGGCCGGTCTTGCAGGCCGCCTGGATATATTTAAAATGAACATCCGGGTCCTGGCTGAAGTTGACAATAGAGCCCAAGAAATAAAAGAGTCCTAGACGGGCAGAGAAACAAGAGATTAGTGGAGGGGCAGCGATACATTCATTCAAAGAGTTAAAAGTCCTTTTTTCTTTTTGGCATGAATCAGAAAATGATCAGGGGACCCTGTCATCGAACACGCTACACCAGCTTCTTTTCATCATGGACGGCTTTAAATTTGGGTTATCAAAACAAACCTCAACTTCATTTTAGATTGTATTTTATCCAATTCCATTTTAAATGGCTTTCATCAAATTTCAGTAATGATTTGTTTCTGGAATTCTGCACTTTGATATGGTTCAAGAGCTAATCAATCAATCAATCAAATAAAATAAAAACAAACCAAAAACATGAAAAAATATTTTCCAAACTCCCACAGGTATTTCAGCAAGTTTGACAACAGCGTAAAACACAAGGCTTTGGTTCTGATTCCTTTAAACCGAGTATAGGATAGCGCTCTCCTTGTAACAGGGAGTAAATTAATCCCATCAGGTTAATCCTGATCTTCTCGTGATCCTAATCTGTCCGCCGGTTTTCCACTCAGTCACTTTACATTCTGCTGCCAAGTCCACGGACTGAGGGTGGTTGGATATCACCTGTGTGCTCAACGTACCTTCGTAGCTTTTAAAAGACTCAAAGAGTTCTACAAGGGACTGGGTGCCCAACTGTTCGTGGTATTTGGAAGCCACCTGGACGCAGAGCTGCAGATTTTGTCGGATGTTGGCGGACAACATGGCGCGCAGGCACTCGACGGAGTCTTCAACGGAGAGCGAGCCAAAGAAATTCACCAGCCACTGAAGGGGAAAAGAAAAGAAAAAAAAAACCTCTCCAAAATTAAATATGTAAACACAATGCGTGTATAATCTGTATCTTGCAAACCAGACACCTGCATTAGGAACGAATAACAATTAAAGAACTAAGTTCTGCTACCGCAGCTTGAATATTTCAGAACCAACCAGACAGGGGTAGTGGGCTGCAGCCCGGGGATTGGGGACTCCTGCCCTAGGTGGATTCCCATGAAATGAAGCCCCCAAAAGGGATTAGCTTTATTAATCTATCTGTATTTATTTTACCTCTGGATTCAGAAGGTGGGTGTGCACGACGGCACGCTTGATATCATAAAGATCTGTGTAGTGTTCCAAAGCTCTCTGCAGCAGGCCGGCCTTTTCGCACAGCTGAGCAATATGCGCTCGGTCATAGTGGGTGAACATCTGATTCCCCAAGATGGCATCGGCAACCTAAAAGAAAATTAACCAAAGAAGCAAGTCTACAGCATCGCATATGGATTCTATATGGAACATTTAACACACACACAACAGAAACTGACTGGCCAGGGTCTAGGATGACTCGCTGCAGCCATCTCACCGCAATCAACTTGCTACGGGACAATTCCACGTGTGATAACTCAAATGTCAACCCTGAAGCTGGCCTAGGTGAAGCCATCTTGGAGCTTCAGTGCTGCCCCTGGGACAGAGAGTGGGGGATTAGAGATCGCTGGGGCCATGTGTTCAAAACAAAATACTTTCTCTTGGGAACCAAGGTCATTCTCACACCTGGCTGGAGGAAGGAGGAGTGAAGTCACCAGACCATCTGGCGGAGCCCTGATTGGACAACGGGACTGATTGTTTGAAATTGGGGTGTCTGTGGAACTTTTACTTTTAATTAGGTGAAAACCATGGGGCCCTTCAGAGTTGGTTTTCACCAAATACGTGCCACAATATGATTATTTCCAATAAAGCTATTTATTGGAATTTATTCCAGCTGCCTCCGGGAGTTTTTGCTCGCGATGGATCTGTTACTTGAAACCCTGGCATCAACACAATCTATATTATCCACCACTGTTTCTCCATTTTTGTCAATGGAAAGAAATAGTGGTGGACCACATTTTTCGCGTTGAGTTAATTCCCCCCCCACCCCCCACGTGGAATCATCCCGTGGCGAGTTTGTCCCATTTCGGACCCGGGCCATGCAAAGTTGAAACTTATTTAGAAGAGGGACAACAACTGTTCTTCTCAAGAGGAAAACGAGACGATGCCAAATCCTTTGGCTGGAGTGGGGGCGGGGGTGGGGGGGGGGGAAAGAGCGGTTACCTGGGGAGCATGAATGAGATTCATCTCAAGGAGACGGGTTTGAAGGTGGCCTTCCGCGGGGCGATTGTTCTTCAAGGCATCCAGCAAGAAGGAAGTACACTGCTGAATTAAACTGTTCTCCATGAACACATCGACAATCTGCAGTAGAAGAACATGGCAATCGGGCTTAGACTTATATACCGCTTCATGAGGCTTCACAGCCCTCTCTGATCGGTTTAGAGAGTCGACATTTTGCTCCCAAAGAATCCGGGTCCTTGTTTTATTGACCTTGGAAGACTGCTGGCAGTCAGCAAAATTAGCCTGCAATACCACATTCTAACCACTGTGATGAATGGATGGAAGGAAAGACACTGAGATGGAGGGAGGGAAGGAAGGGACAACGAGAGAGAGGGAAGAAGGAAGAAGTAGCAATAGCCCTTAGATTTATAGACTGCTTCACAGTGCTTTTCATTCTCTAAGCAGTTTACAGAGTCAGCTTTACATAGTCAGCATATTGTTTTTACCAACCTCAGAAGGATAGAAGCCTTGAGTCCACTTTGAGCCAGTCGGGCTCGAACTGCTGGCAGTCGGCAGAATTAGCCTGCCAATACTGCATTCCAACCATATAACGCCTCTCTTTCAAGTTATGGCAACCATCACACACCACAAAAGGTTACAATTACATTACTTCCGTCTTCGGCACCCTGGAAGTGGTTCTGCTTCCATTGTCAAAAGGATGTTTGATAAAAAAAAAACTATTCTCATTCCTTTCAGAGCGAGACCTCTTGAAATTAAGATGTTCCTATGAAAGCGCAGGCACCTTTATTACTTCACTGTACTTTCCGCCAAGATCTATCCCTTCTTAATGAGAATTATAGAAAACCCCAAGTGGGGCATGACGAGACACACAAAGTAGAAGTAAATCCTACAGGTCTCTTGATGACACCATGTTAGATTTCAAATTATCTACTGGAACAGGCATCTCCAAACTAGGCAACTTTTAAGACAGGTGGACTTCAACTCCCAGAATTCCCATTCTAGAGCCACCGGAGTCTTTACCTGGTTGATGTTGGCCAAAGGCTCTTCATCCTGAACCAACATTTGCGCAAACTGAAGACCTTGATCTGGGTTGACTCTCATTACACTTCTCAATAAGAAAATCCAGTCAGGGGTATAGCCCACCTTTAAAATAAGAAATCAAGTTACTAGCACTGATGAATCGCTAGCATTGATGACGTTACCCAGTTGGGTCTTCATATCTTGTGATCATTCATCTTGCATCAACATGATCAATTCATGCCTAATCATTATCCTTTCTGTGTTTGCTGTCTTGTTACGTGATGTTTTTGTAGTGTTCTTTCTAATTCCTTAAGAGTGTCTTGTAGTTTGGTTTCTTTTTCTTTCTTTTCTTTGTATATATGTATTATATGAAATTGCTAAGCCCCTAATATATGCTTTAGTCGCATCCCATAAGTTTTGAGTTGATTTTTGTTGTTTATTTTCTTTCAAAAAGAACTCTCAACTCTTTTTCCATCACCTCGACACACTTTTTTTCTTTTAAGAGCTCCCTATTTAACATCCATCTTCTTTTTTTTCAATCCTTTCCAAATTATTTTAATAGGGTTATGATCTGCCCACGTATTAGTTTAAATTTCTATTTCTTTTATATCACGTTCAATTTCCACATTTGTCCATAGCATATCCAATCCTGACCATGATATATGTGGTGCTGAATAATAGGTAGATTGTTTTTTGTTTGGGTTTCTTTCTCTCCACATATGTTTTAATCCTAAACTAGGACCACCTAGTTGGGTCTTAACTGTCCTGCTTAGCAACAGATTTTTTTTTTTGCTCCATTGTGATCGTAAGTCGAGGACTCTCTATATGTCAAAATAACTAGCCCAAAGTCCTGTTCTACCCTGTAAGTCAAAGAGAAACTCAGCAAGTTGAGAAAATTGCATCTCATACTTCTGACATACTTGGAATGTTTTAAGATCTTGCGTTATCTCAGGAGAGATAAACAATTTTAATAAAAGAAAATGTGTTGACTTGGAAGGTGAGCATTGCACAAGCAGGCCTTTTTCAGGCAGGGGGGCAAAAAAAGATAAGTTTACCTTTTTGGCATAAAGAACAATTTTCTGGAACTGACTCGTTTCTGCAAAACACTGGATGACTTTATTTGGGACGTTGGCGCGGAGATAAACACTCAGGGCGAGGGTTGGATCAGCGGCCTTCACCAGGTCTCCCAGCTCTTCGGAGCACTCCAGCTGAAGCAGACATCAGATTTCAGAAATCGATGCCAATCCAAGTGTTAAAAACTGCAGGCGGCTTGACAAGAGCATTTGTTGACACCGTGCCAGCCTCCGAAAATACTTTCACACCCCAGTCATGTCCAAACAACCACAACTATTGCTGTTGGCACAAGAGGGCTGTTTGCATTTCAGGGACCGACTCTGCTGCTGGACAACAAAACAGGACACACAAATGCACGTACACACAGTGTGGTGGGGATGTAGCTAGAAGGCAAAATATGGAGAGTCCCGCCCCCCCCCCCCCCCCCCAGGGCAAAGAGTGCTTGGAATATGGAAGAGGACAAGGTCGGATTCTCCCTAGCAATTCATGGAATTTAGCTATAGGTTATGGCAGATCATTGCTTTAATCTGGCAAGGAGCTAGGAACTATATCTCTGTCTGTCTGTCTGTCTATCTATCTATCTATCTATCTATCTAGGTTGTCCCTGACCTTAGAGCTAGGAACTATATGTCTGTCTGTCTGTCTGTCTGTCTGTCTGTCTGTCTATCTATCTATCTATCTATCTATCTATCTATCTATCTATCTATCTATCTATCTATCTAGGTTGTCCCTGACCTTAGAGCTAGGAACTATATCTCTGTCTGTCTGTCTCTCTCTCTCTCTCTGTCTGTCTGTCTGTCTGTCTGTCTGTCTATCTATCTATCTATCTATCTATCTAGGTTGTCCCTGACCTTAGAGCTAGGAACTATATCTCTGTCTGTCTGTCTCTGTCTGTCTGTCTCTCTCTGTCTCTCTCTCTGTCTCTCTCTCTCTGTCTCTCTCTCTCTGTCTGTCTGTCTGTCTGTCTGTCTGTCTGTCTGTCTGTCTGTCTATCTATCTATCTATCTATCTATCTATCTAGGTTGACCCTGACCTTAGAGCTAGGAACTATATCTTTATGTCTGTCTGTCTGTCTACCTAGGTTGCCCCTGACCTTAGAGCTAGGACCTATATCTCTGTCTGTCTGTCTGTCTGTCTATCTAGTCATGTTTATGTAGTATATATTAGAGGTGGAGACCCTTTGAGAACTGTATGCCACAAAATTTCATTTTAACGTATGCTGATTTAGTCTACATTCAAAGTGGCCATCAAGTTATTCTAAGTCCGAGGAGAACTTCACCACATATCATGGTTAGGCCTAACGATGCATCCTCGTTTGTGGCTTTACGGGTATAGCAGGACTGCACTAACAAATGGCGACGGGAGGCTCACCTTGTCTTCTTTCAGCCATTTCTCAAGGAGCTGCTTGCGGCCTTGCTGAAGGACGGGGCGGCAGAGTTCCAGAGATTCGAATTTGTTGAGCTGCCCTTGGTCAAGGAGGATACCGAAGTACTGCAGCAAGGGCGACGCTTGCCCGGGTTGAGCCGGGACACTCTGAAACTTCCGGATGGTGTCGCTGGTGCGCAGGATGCCCTGAATGTCAGAATCAGGTAGTTAAATGTCACTGACGGATTTATGGATTGTCCCCAGGGAGGAAAAACCAAGAGCAACCAATTCAACTCCCCGTTTTAGGATACAGGTAGTCCTTCGACATACGACCACAACTGAGCCCCAAAATTCCTCTGGATAAGCGAAGCATTTGTTAAGTGAGTTTTGACCCCTTTTACAATCTTTCTTGCCACAGAGCTGCTAAGCGAATCACGGCTTGTTAAGTGAGTTGCGTGGTGTGATGACCCAAAGGGGCGTGGCACGAAAGCAACAAAGCCCCAAAAGTAGGGAAAGTCCCTTTAATTCCTCCAACTTGGCCCCCAATGTCCAGTAAACATCAGCTGGAGAAAAAAAACTCTCCCAAGAAGAGTTTTTAAAGGGAAGAAATTCAGTCCGAACCCAAAGTACATATTAATTATAATAAAAACCAACACAAACCACAGCTGCAGCAATTAACGATTCAGGGCAGGATAAGGAATTGCGGACTTCAAAAGATAACAAACTACACACAGTTGGGAAGACACCAGAACCCAGACAAGCCTTGACAAATATAGTTCACGCTTTGATTCCAGCAAGGTGCTGTGCGCAAACTCCCTTTTTAAATCCTGTTTTCCAAGCTGCAGCTAATGAAGGGAATCAGGGCCCTTTTCTCCCCCGGTAACCCACGTTGCTCCCTTATCCGCTCCTCCCTGAGTGCCCTAGGATGAAGAGTGGATGGCCCTGGGTCTTTCTCTGAATGCCCAGGTGGACTGTGCCCTTCCCCAGTTTCCTCCACAGCCACCGGGGCCACACTCCCACCCTCTGTCAGCTGCTCGACCTCCACCTCGGAATCAGATTCCAACAGGGGCATGACACATGGTTCTTAAGTGAATTTGGCTCCCCCCACTGAATCTGCTCATCAAAAGGTCGCAAATGGGATCGCTGCGACCGTCCTAAATATGAGTCAGTGGCCGAGCGTCTGAATTTTGATCACGTGACGGTGGGGATGCTGCAAGGATCGTAAGTGTGAAAAACACTTCCCCCCACCCCAGTAAAGTTGTCATTTCAAACGGTCACCAAATGAACAGTTGTATGTTGAGGACGACCTGGGACCAAAAACAGCGAGAGAGTCGAATGAAGTGCAATCAACTTGCAGGAATTAAATGGGTGTTTAAGTAGATCAATGTTCTGAAGGCGCGGGTCTCTCCAACGCTGGTTTACCTTGGGTGCGGATGCGGCCACTTTAGCTGCCTCCGCGTAGCTCCCCTGCGCAAAAAGGGTATTAAATTTCCTGGCAAAGAGTTCTTCCGCTCCGGCTAAGTTGCTCCGGATAGCCATTCGCAGACCCAGATCCGGATTCTGCAGGACGTTGGTGGCGTAGTTTACAATATTGTCTTCTTCCACGCAAACCGAGAGGACCTATTGAGAGAGAGAGAGAGACAGAGCACGTGCTCCCAACTCAGGAGTCCTTATACCATTCTGGCCAAATGGTGGTCCAGCCTATCCTTGAAAACATCCAGTGATGGAACCCCAGGACAATCTTCCCCAAGTCTGCATTTCCCCGGCTAGTTAGAAACACATTGTCCTAACTCCTCTGGCCATGTTACTTAATTGGCCAAGATGGCAACTGCCATCCAAGTAATGGATTAGTTAGAAAAGACACACTGATACGCTGGTTGGAAAAGGCTTATCCATCCAACCATCCATCCATCCATCTCATCAGCTATCCTCTCTCTCTCTCTCTCTGCCTAGTATTTACCTATCTAATCTCTCTCTCCTAATCTAATTTCTCTCTCTATGGTATCTACCTAACTACCTATCTCCACCCATCATCTATCTATCCATCCATCTATGCTCTCTCTTTTTGCTTCCTATCATCCATCCATCCAGTTATCCTCTACCTACCTAGTACTTACCTACCTTATCTCTCTCTACTCTCTCTCTTCTAATCTACCTAATACCTCTCTTTCTATGGTACCTACCTACCTATCTCCATCCATCATCTATCTAACCATCCATCTATGCTCTCTCTTTTTGCTTCCTATCATCCATCCATCAATCCATCCAGTTATCCTCTACCTACCTAGTACTTACCTACCTTATCACTCTCTACTCTCTCTCTCTCCTAATCTACCTAATATCTCTCTCTCTATGGTATCTACCTATGTATCTCTATCCATCTATCATCTGTCCATCTCTCTCTCCATCTCTCCATCCATCTTATCTCTCTCTTTGCTTCCTATCCATCCATCCATCCATGATTTATGAAAAATAATTTGGCCACCCTAGTTATTCTCAGTGACTACAAGGAACTTACAAGGATAAAAGCCTAACACAAGAACAATCAAAAGATATGCCACCACTCCCTACTTACAACGATCAAAGGAGCCATTTCATGGGCTCCATCCCACCCTCGAGTCCCCAGATCCACTGGCAGGAACAGGTCTTCAGGGACTTGCAAAAGATTGTCCAAGCGAGGACCAACTTTACCTCTGCAGGGATGATGTTCCGCAGGGAGGGAGCCACCACGGAGAAGGCCCTTCTTCTGGATCCCATTAGATGCACCTCCTTAGCAGAGGAGATCCCAAACATTTCTAATCTTCCAACAACCATCTTACCTGTCCTTTTTTATTCACCCCAATAATCCCAGAGGTGGGTTCGTGAGGCGACGTTACAAATATCGTCTCAGCGCTGATTCGGTTCATGTAGATGCAGACCCCGGATTCCAAATCGTACATGTGTATGTAGCCATATTTTGTGATCAGATAGATCACGCCGTGCTTTGTTCCAATCTGTGAAAACAGATTTAATCAATATTAATCAGAATGGAGCAGGAAGAGACCTTGGGAGATCCTCTAATCCAGCTGTCGAGCAGGGGCACCTATACCGGGTGTCAGCAACCCGCAGCTCTGGAGCCGCATGCGGCTCTTTGGGCCCTCTGCTGTGGCTTCCTGTTGAGTGATCCCACCACTGGCTGGCCCCACCCCTCGGCCTCCCCTCCCAGTCACTTCTCGCCTGGCCTGAGAAGGTAAAACACAAAAAACAGAAATGAGAGGGAGGAAGAGAGAGAGAGAGAGAGAGAGAGAGAAAGAGAGAGAGGGAGAGAAAGACCCATTTCCTACAGAAAACACCGGAACCACAAAACCTGGGTAGGCCTGGCCGTGTGTGTGTGTGTGTGTGTGTCATGTGACTGGGTAGGAGTGACGCTGAGTTGGCCACGCCCACCCAGGTTTTGTGGCTCCCAGGGTTTTTTGTTTTTTTCTGTGGGAAAACTGGTCCAAATGGCTCTTGGAGTGTTTAAGGTTGCAGACCCCTAGCCTATACCCGTGATGGAGAAGCTATGGCATGCATGCCAGAAGCAGCACACAGAGCCACTTCTGCTGGTATGCCAGAGGTCACCCGGAAGAGCCCCATGGGTGGGGGGGGGGGGCAGGCGCATTGCCTTCTGGGTGTTGGCACGCAATTTTCAGCATGGGAGCCCCAAAAAGGTTAGCCCCCACTGACCTATACAAACTCAGACAAGTGACTATCGAGTCTCTTCTTAAAGAAACAAACCGCTGCTAAGTCGAGGTTTACCCCGTATACCTGCCTAGGGTGGGTTTAAAGGGACGGAGAGGATGCAAACCTGCTTCCCTGTTCGCTTACCTGCATTGCAACGGGAAAATCCGTCTGGGCTTCCGGGGGGAAAAAGACGTCGACCGCCTTTTTGACAAAGGGCTGGTTTCCCGCGGCCGGCTGGCCCACTTCGATGATATGAAGCTGAAAATAAAACCGTGAAAAGGACAATCGGCCGTTTGGCTTGAAACAGGAAAGCTGAGTGATAACTTGCATTTTGGGGGGGAGGGGGAAGGGGGGGTGCTGCTAAATGTATGCAGGTCCCGGCTTCTCCTTTCGTTACCTTGCCTCCCGAGGGGCTGCGGACGGCGAAGCAGAAGAGCGTGGACGGCTTGGCATTCCCTTCGACTTTGAATTCGGCAAAGGCTGCCGCGTGGCCCTCGATGGGCTGGGAGACCTTGCGGTCCACGGAGTAGAGCTGCATGGCGCCCACCACGCGGTTTTGCTAAAGCAAAGCCAGAAGCATCATGTGGCAAAGGGTTCCCATAAAGAGTGTATAATCAACGCATCCTGCACCTTTCCCTGCCGCAAGAGATTCCTGCCACCGAATCGAGCGGCGCTGGGACCAAACGATTCTCAATTCTGTTTGATCGATAGCGATGGCACTGAAGACTTATAGACCGCTTCACGGTACTGCCTAGCCCTCTCCAAGCGGTTTACAGACTCAGCGTATTGCCCCCAATAATCTGGGTCCTCGTTTTAACAACCTTTGGAAAGATGGAAGGATGAGCCCACCGTTGAGCCGGTGGGAATCGAAGTGGCAGTCAGAAGAGCGAGCCTTGGCGGTGCAGTGGTTAGACTGCAGTACTGCAGGCTACTTCTGACGACTGCCGGCTGCCTGCAATTTGGAAGTTCAGATCTCAGCAGACTCAAGGTTGACTCAGCCTTCCGCCCTTCTGAGGTGGGTAAAATGAGACCCGAATTGTTGGGGGGCAAGAGGCTGACTTTGTAAACTGAGCAGAGAGGCTAGAAAGCACTGTGAAGCAGTATACTGCTCTTTCTCTCCTCTCCTCTCTCCTCTCCTCTCCCCTTCCTTCCTTCTTTCCTTCCTTCCTTCCTTTCCTTCCTTCCCTCTCAGTGGTTAGAACGCAGTATTGCAGGCTAACTCACTGCCAGCAGTTCAATCCTGACAGGCTCAAAGTTTACTCAGCCTTCCATCCTTCCGAGGAGGGTCAAATGAGGACCCAGATTGTTGTGGTCAAGAGGCTGTAAACCGCTTAGACAATGCTGTAAAGCACTGTGAAGTGGTATATAAAGCTAAGTGCTCTTGCGATTAGCCTGCAGTACTGTATTCTAACCACCGTGGCCCCACGGCTCGTGCGCCTTGACCCTTCTTCAATTATTCAACATGAATTATTTCATTTTGTTCAATGAAGGTACTTCAATTATTAATGTACTGTATTATTAAAGAATCAGTGAGTAGTTAAGGCATCAAGCTGGAAACCAGGGGACTAAGTTCTAGTATTGCTTTAGGCATGAAAACTATCTGGGTTATCTGTGAATTCTAGTGCCACTTAAGGGACAAAAGCCAGGTGGACAACTTTGGGCCAATCACCAGGAGACCACAAGTTGTAGTTTCATGTTAGTCATGAAAGGTGGCTGGAGGACTTTGGGCCGATCACCAGGAGATTGTGAGTTCTAGTCCTGCCTTAGGCATGAAAACCAGCTGGGTGATCTTGAGTCAATCTTGATTGTGAGTTCTAGTCCGCCTTAGGCATGAAAACCAGCTGGGTGATCTTGAGTCAATCACCAGGAGATTGTGAGTTCTAGTCCTGCCTTATATATGAAAGCTAACTGGATGACTTTGTGGCCAGTCACTCTCCCTCAGCTCAAGCCACCTTCCCAGAGTTGTTGTTGTGGGAAAAAAAGGAGGAGGAAGGAGTATCGTGTATGTTCACTCCCCCCACCCCAAGAGTTACTTCTAAAGTAAGACAGGTGGGATAAAACAAATAACACCCAACAAATAAAAGAGAATTCCAGAGGTTTTCCCTACCTGGGCAGAGATGCCAATTAAGAGTAACCATTTCTGATTCTCGTCCGTCCGGTAGTTGATGATTTGGCAGCCCGCAAGACTGGCGTGTCGGTCGAACATCTTCTGGGGCAAAGTATCACCTTCCATGGTCCAGTGATAGACGGCCGTCTCCGTCACTAAAGCCACGGTGTTCACCGAGATCCACTTCCAGAAAATGACTTCTTCAGCCATCGTGTGGGCTTTCATTTTGCTTTTCATCTCAATGTTAAAGATCTGGAGGGTTTTCCCCGCTGGTTGGCAAGACAGGAAGACAAAACAAGAAGAGAAGAGGAATCACAGATCTCCCAAATACCCCACCCAAATTTCAATTCTCCTACCGCATCTCGGCCCTCTTTGTCCCACCTAAAGAAGGCTAAGACTGTTCAACGGTCTTGGCCACAGAGGCAGGAAGAATGAAACACCAAGGGGAAGGAAATCAACTCACTGCAGGCAGCAGCTTAAAAGATGACTGGTACAGGATGAAATGGATCAGTTCATCTTACCTTCTTCAAGCTACTCAGGTGTGTAGAGCTCACATGTTTCAAAGCATGAATTGGGACGACCATTTCTTATCTAACGGGAAAATACTTCAAAAACCCCAAGATCCTCGCCTTCGGTGGACTTAAGATGCACCCCAACTTCTACGTGGAGCTGATTGCTTGAATATTGGTCCTTAAGCAGATGTATTTCAGAGCTCAAAAGAGGGGAAGTCAAGGATAGACGGTCAAGAGGGATGCATAAACAATCATTTCCAATATCCAATCCAATGAGGGGCTGTCACAGGGAAAGGGGGCCGCCTGTTCTCCAATTAAGACAGGACAGGAAGTAACCGGTGAAAGATGATCCAAGAGAGATCCGATTTAGAACCGAGGAGAACATTTCCTGGTGGTCAGAACAGTCAGTCAAGGGAATGGCTTGCCTTCAGAAGTTGTGGCTGCTCCATCAGTGGAGGCTTTTAAGAAGAGACCGGACAGCCATTTGTCTGACATGGTACAGAGCTTCCCGCTTGAGCAAGGGGTTGGACTAGAAGACCTCCGGGGTCCCTTCCAACTCGGTTATTATTCTGTAATTCTGTAATCTGGGGAAGGGACCTACTTCCAAACTTTCAAAATAAAGAGTTTTAGGGAAAGAGGAAAGACAACAGGGAAAAAAAATCGGTTTATAATGTAAGGTAAAGGTAAATGCTCCCCTCCTGCTAGTCGTTTCTGGCTCTAGGGGTTGGTGCTCATCTCCGTGACAAAGCCGGCGCTGACCGAAGACGTCTCGGTTATGCGGCCAGCAGGACTAAATGCCAAAGGCGCACGGAGAAATGCTGTTCCCTTCCCACCAAAGTGGTTCCTATTTTTCTACTTGCATTTTTTTTTTTACGGGCTTTTGACTTGCTAGGTTGGCAAAAGCTGCTGAGACAAGGAACGGGAGCTCACTCCACTACGCAGTGCTAGGGATTCGAACCGGCGAACCGCCAACCTTTCTGATCAACAAGCTCAGCACCTTAGCCAGCTTAAAACAGATTTCTTCCAATAATGTTAACACGCCTCTTTTCGCCCCACTTTTTATTCCATTTCTCTCTAGTTGTAGCCCCCTCCTCCAAAATGGAACACGGTTATTAAGCATTCCACAATAAATCATCTCAAAAGTGTTTAATTAGCCATCAGGTTGGCAACCCAGTGGCCGCAAGGAAGTGACAGCTGTAGCATGCAAAGGCAAGCCAACTGGTAGCTGGAGGGTTATGAGCCGTTATTTTCATCCTTCGGCTTCCTTTTTTAAATTTAGCTTTATACCTCTCTGGCTTTTAAACAAGGACCCTATTTTGCCTGCGTGCCACAAGGATGAAGCTTGTGAATGATGTTGCTTCAGTCTGTGGCCAGCGTTGCATGATCCCTTCTAAGTGAAATCGCTCTGCGGGTATAAAATGCCGCTTCCGTAAGGATGAGGGATCCAAATGAAATATTCTCCCATTCTATCGGCCCTCTCTCTGCTTGTTTTCTCTCCGTTAAGATTGCAAAGCGATGCAAAGGACCAGGACAGCCAGAGGAAGAAGCAGGAAAGAGCAGGGATCGGAAGGAAAAACAACATTTGCAGATTGCTTTAATGCCTCGGGAAAGAAAAAGAAAAAAAAGTGATTCCCCAAGGCCTTAACCCATAAACGAAGCAGTTAGGAGTGGATTTCAAATCCCCATCCATTTCTTCACTGGGTTATTTACAAGGCGCAAGATGAAGCAGGCAAGCCAGACCAGGATGGAAAAATGGCCCCTTGGAAAGCTAACTGGGCTGTCTTAAAAGAGGAAAAATAATAAGGTGCAACTCCAAGCTTGGTAGGTTTTATTCAGGAGAGATGATTTTAAGAGGAAAACCCTGCCTGATGATCAATGGGGCGGGGGGGGGGTGACTCCCCTTCACCCACTTTTTAACCTTTGCTTTTAAAGTATTTTTCTCCACAAGAATCACAAAATGAATTGGGCGGCTAGATAAATATGCCGGATAGATGGATGGATGACAGCTGAGCTAGAGAGAGAGAGAAAGAGGATGGGTAGCTGGATGGATGGATGGATGGATGAATGGATTGAGATAGATAGATAGATAGAGATGAAGGGTGGAGAGAGATGGACAGATGATAGATGGATGGAAATAGATAATGATATAGACAGACAGACGGATGGATGGATGATATATGGGGATGGATAGATGGATGGATGGAGATAGATAAATAGATATAGATGAAGGATGGAGAGAGATGGACAGATGATGGATGGAAATAGATGATAGATAGATAGATAGATAGATAGATAGATAGATAGATAGATAGATAGATAGATAGATAGATAGATAGATAGATATGAAAGGTGGAGAGAGATGGACAGATGATGGATGGATGGAAATAGATAATGATATAGACAGACAGACAAACGGATGGATGGATGGATGATGGAGAGAGAGATAAATGATAATATATGGGGATTGGTGGATGGATGGATGGATGGGGAAAGGGGAAGAGAGAGAAATATTGGCATTGGGGAAGAAATAGCAGGCAGAGGCCAAGATACCCTGAAATAGAAGTGTCTATATTTGTATCAGTCACCTGTTCACCTTTTGGGGTAGCAACAGAAAGCCTCCCCACAAGCAAGGCAGCCCTAAGATTTGGTTAAGTCAAGGACCAGATTGTGTGAACAGAATTTAAGGGTCAGCAAAGTGAGGCTATTTTATCCAGCCTTTTGGCCAGGGCCCTTCCAGAAGATTGTGTTTTTAAGTGGCTGTCGCATCAAGGAAGCTTAACAATAGATTCCAGCTGCTTAACACAGATTAATCCAAAGCTGCGAGTAACACAACTGAATGATACCGCTTATCTTGGGCGGGCAGGCATCTCTTCTCTATTCAGGTGAACTAAAAATATAAAAAGCAAAACAAAACACCGACATATACAACATAGACAAGCCTGAATAGGTGGGTCACAACCAAGGGGGTGTGTAGGGTGGGGTGGGGTGGCAGGAAAAGCTCTGAACAATTTACACCTGTGAGACAGAGAGCACAAAAACGGTGCCTTCTGCATTCCCATGCGAAGTGTATGGAAATGGCTGGTGTAAAGGGCTGCATTTTCCCGTTTTGCTTTAACACGGAAGCACTTTTACGAGACAGTATGACCAGAAAGGGCTGCTCGGGTTACCGCACAACGTAGGGGACATAAATACGAGGACGAGAATGCTCTGGTCGCTGGGAAATGCCACATGCAGTAGTACCCGGCAATGCAATTGGTGTGCACGCAACCGCACTCTTACCACCATTCAGAGAAGCCGTTACGTATCTGAAAGACTGGCATTATTACGTCGGTTGCTTGTACGTGGGAAAACAAGTTTCAAGCACAACAGGAGAGGTGGGCTCACCCCAGTCTCTACCAACCAAGAACATCTGCAGTTCGTTATTTTAGAGCATACCTCGATTCATAGGTCTCTTGGACTTTCATGGTTTGGGACAAACTACAGTTCTGTGGCTACCAAGGAAAAGAAGCTGCCGTACCTATTTTCCCAAGGCTTCGTGTATTTTTAAGCAAACAGGCCAAAAAATAAAAAACAAAAACACCGAGAAGATATGACAGTACTATAAGTCGGGGCAACTGTAAGACCTGTGGACTTCAACTCCCAGAATTCCTCAGTCAGCCTGAATCCTAAACCGTGCTGGCTGGGGAATTCTGAGAGTTGAAAGCCACAAGTCTTCAAGTTGCTAAGGTGGGAAGATTCCTGCTTTAAGTGATCGTAACGGGGGCACATAGACAACACTTACGTTTCCCCACTTAGTTACTGCTGTGTACCTACCAACTAACGTTAGTTCAAGCTGTGTTGTCAATCAGTATTAGCTTCCCTGGTCAATGCGCCGATTCGCAGGGGGCCAAGATAATTGGAATTAAAATGCGATAAGAGCCGTGGCGGCGCAGTGGTTAAAATGCAGCATTGCAGGCTAACTCACTGCTTACTCCAGGAGTTCAATTCTGAGAGGTTCAAGGTTGACTCAGCCTTCCATCCTTCTGAGGTGGGTCAAATGAGGACCCAGATTGTTGGGGGCGATATGCTGACTCTGTCAACCGCTTAGAGAGGGCTGGAAAGCACTGTGAAGCGGGATATAAGTCTACGGACGATTGCTGTGATGAATGCTGAATTTTTGATCGCCGCTTTTAGTGTATTCCTACCTATACCTCCAAGCCATTTTTAGCAAGCCTGCAAACAGCAGCTGCGCACAGCTCAGGCTCAAAAATTTCCAATAGAATTGATTGTCTATAACAATCGTGGACCCCTGCGAGCTTTGTCATGACTTTCTGGGACCAAAAACCACATTTAGAATCGAGTAGATGACTAGCACACAAGACACCATGCTAGCAAAGGTCTCTCATAAAAGTATCTGTGGCTCAGTTCCTTGCTGTTTATTAACTGTACGGCGATGGGATGGATTTACTTCGAGAGCCATTCCTTGGTACAGTTATTACCAGCAAGTCTCGAAAGTATCGCAAGGGAGGACAACAATTTCCCCCCAAAATTCAAGCCACCTAAATCCCAATTAATTCCACTATGGAGGTGCCCAATTGCTAATTTTTTTCCCCTTTCCAGATTTCAGTACTTTTTATGAGATTAGACCATTCCATACTGTTAAAACATACAAGTTTGCCAGGATAAAATGAACTCACCGTCTGTATTAAGACAAGAATGCAGGAAGAAAAGTACATAGTCAGTTGGCAGTGAAATTATTTTAAATCTAAAGAGTTTGTGTGCCTACCTGCGGAGGGACATTTTAAAGGGCTGATCAGATTACTTTGTAAGCCAAAACTGAGCTCCCACAGAAGGAACAAATATCACTTTTATTTGCTGTAGGTTTGAACTGTTGCATAATCTAAGCTTTTTTTAAAAAAAAAAAAACAAGTACATTTTCATTCACCAAATCCTAGATTTGTCCAACTATGTCATCACTGCTGCCAAGGAAGACTAAGCTATAGAAGTGATTCTTAACTGGGCAAAACTTTCTGCAAACTTGGAAACGGCAGCATCTGAAATTCTTGGTGGCCTAGATTAGAAGATCTACTTTCTAATCTTAACTTTTTAATCATTGCTTTGGAAAGCTATTTTGAGTAGATTGCCCCAGTCCCTTCCTCGCCATTCAAATTCCATGACCGCCATTTTCAGTCTCTCAATTTACTGTAAAAAATTAACAGGTTAAAGGTAAAGGTTCCATTCGCATATAATATGTGCTATTCGTTTCTGGCTCTAGGGGGCAGTGCTCATCTCCGTTATAAAGCCGAAGAGCCAGCACTGTCCGAAGACGTCTCTTTGGTCATGTGACCAGCATGGCTTAACACCGAAGGCGCACGGAACGCTGTTCTCTTCCCACCAAAGGGGTCCCTATTTTTCTACTTGCATTTTTTACATGCTTTCCAACTGCTAGGTTGGCAGAAGCTGGGACAAGGGACGGGAGCTCCCTCAGTCACGCGGCGCTTGGGATTCGAACCGCCGAACTGCCGACCTTTCTGATCGACAAGCTCAGCATCTTAGCCACTGAGCCACCACGTACCTAATTAACAGCCTAAGTTTCATTTTAAAAAAAACAACCTTCCATGTGTTTTTTTCCCCTATGTGCTTTTTAAAAGAATGTCTTTAGTGTTGTTCTGTTCTTATATTTTTTTTTTCCTTGTTTGGAGTTTGTACAGGTAGTCTTCAACTTACAACCCATTCGTTTAATGACTGTTTGAAGTTACAATGGCCACACTTATGGCCATTGCAGCCTCCGGTCGCATGATCGAAATTGAGACGGCAAGTGACTCGCATTTATGACGGCTGCAGCGTCCTGGGGTCACGCTTTTGTGAATCAACAGGGAAGCCAGATTACCCTAACAGCCGCGTTACATCTGCAAGTGATTCACTTAACAACGGTGACCAGAAAAGTCGTAAAAGACGTCAATGCTCTCTGTCTACTCATAAAACATTCCTGTGCCTGTTTTAGAAGTTGCCATTAAAAAAAAAGGGCCGGGGGGGGAATCTGGAAGAGCAGTGCAGCAGTTTGGAAGCGGAAGTACATTCCAACTCTTTATCTTTAAAAGATTGTAACTAAACTACCAGAGCTTTTGCCCAAGAATATATTTAATTGGAGAATGTGAATGATGACACCCAGCCTGTGAACGGGCTTAATTGGAGAATCTGGTTTATGACACCACCCAAGCGGGGAAAGGGGGAAACAGGAGACTGTAAATGACGTATGCCAGAGTTGGCTTCACGCAGGGCAGTGCCAGTATGTCGCCTCTAATAAATCCTTCCAAGTTTTTTGAAGTTTGGCTCAAGAATCATGATTTCATTAGAGCAATTGCTGGAATCCTGACACGCTCACTTAACGTCTTGCTTAGCAACAGAATTGTGATTGTAAATCAAGGGCTACTTGTACAAACTCCCCCAAAATGGTGAATAAATCATGCGGTGAATAAAATATCAAAAATTGCAACTAAAAAAAAAAAAACACAAAAGTTTCCCTTTCGTGTGACTCTTATTCCCACGTTTCCCTCTCGGGTGGAAAATAAGTCGGCCGACGTACCTTTCAGAGCGATGACCTTGGAAGCGGGGTTCATGATGGCACTTTCTGCCGAGATGGGACGCCGGATGGGCGTTGTCGGATCGCTCAGGTCGACAATGACCACCTGCGCTTGCTCCCCAACTTTTTCCCGGATGCAGATGAATTTGTCCGATTCCATCGTTAGTGTGCTGAACCCGATGTTGGCTGGATTAATTCCAAGATTTTGGAGCTAAAAAACAACCACAAGAGCCATTTCGTTAAGACAGCTACTTCGTTTGTCCATGTTTCTGTAATATTCAGATATAACAGTGTTTATTTCTTATATTGACAAGCTTGTTGCCTGCAACCAGGAACTCTTCTCAGAAGTCACTTTTATGCTGTTAATGTTGCATAAAACATTAGGAAAATGACAGCATCGACAAAGAATTCCTTTCTACAAAAGACACAGCCTAGATTGCAAGCATTAAATATCTTGAATTGCCAACGCTACCATTAAACAGAACCTTGGAATCGTCTGCTACAACTTCTACACAATTTTGAAGTTCTCAATTCCAAGTGAGACAAAAATTCTCATCACGTCTTCTCTTCACGTCTGAAATTCTGAAGAGAGTGGTTTTAATCGACAGCTCTGTCTCCAAAGACAGAAAACTTGAAGATCGCTCAACCAATTCCCCAATCTAATCCTCGTCTTGCTCAAGGCAATTTTCCTCTAGTTAAGACCACTATTTCAATATTCTACTACCAAACTAAGAGAAGAGGAAAAAGTTCAAGCGATTCCCTGGGAAACGGATAAGAGGAGAGCTTTGGGGTATTCATTATACTTATCACAGAAGTAAAAATATTTGGACATAATTCCCTTCTCCGGTCTGGGGCCTATCACAATTTTCCATTTGAAAATTTTCTTCTCACAAGTTTTTACCCCGCACCTGTTGTAGCATCTAGCAAAAACAAAACAATGGACTCTCTTCTCCTCCAAGTTATGTTTAATTGTAACAGAAGCTCCGTTCTACATTTTTCTGCATTCCAAGTTTGTCTTGCAAAACAATTGGTGGAAGGGAAGAAAAACAGAAAGTATGCTAAAAGGATAAAATATATGATTTTACATATAACTACAGCAGCGAGAATTGCACTCGCACAATGCTGGAAAAAAAAGACACGATGCCGTCAGACTGTTTAGTGATCCAAAAGATCTTCGATTGCGCAGAAATGGATAAACTTACCTTAGACTTAAAAGGACAAGGAAGACTTGGAATATTATACAGTTTGGGAAAATTGGTACCAATGGATGGACAAAAGGAATGAGAAATGTATAGATTCGAAGAAGATATAAATATGTATATGAATAACTAGAAACGTATGGAAATGTGTTTATGTAACAAAGGTATCTTAGTACTGTCAAAGGTGATTGAGTTTTGTAAAAAGCTATTTTTAAATTTATTTGTACTTTAATGTTTCAAAATTTCAATAAAGATTATTTTTAAAAAACAGAAACCCTCTAAAGACCCACAAGACTTCAAGCATGGGAAATCCTTGACTCATTTAGTGACCTTGAAAGGTACAACGCCACTGGAAAAAAATGGACTTATCCTTTGTGGGGGGGGGGGGGTTTGCACTTTTTTGTTATAGCATCCCCAAAGTTGCCTTTTCCTAACAGCAACCCATCAATAAACAAAGAGAGTTGCTAAATGAGGACTACCTAAGTTTGTAAATTGCAGTAGCTGGGATTGTTATTTCCAGTTGCTACATGGTTTGGGAGGGAGAAGCCAAAGTGGGATATGTATCGATCGCAAACTAAGCCAACAACAGGATGACTCTTCAGTCCTGCTAGGAGGAAGAATAAAGGAGGAACAAGCAGCCAAATGCTAATAGAGCCATGGGGGTGTAGCCAAAAAAAAGGGGGGGGGATCCTTTTGCAGACGTTTCATTACCCAAACTAGGTAACATCATCAGTGACAGAAGGGAGTGAGAGGAGGAGGAGGAGGAGGAGGAGGAGGAGGAGGAGGAGGAGGAGGAGGAGGAGAACTGTGGGGTCCTTGGTGCTCTCTGAGCTTGGTTGTTTTCTTCCAGACGTTTCATTACCCAATTAGGTAACATCATCAGTGCTGCAAAAAGGAGAGTGGAACTGGAGAAGGAGGAGGGGGACACGATGACTTTGGGGTCCTCAGGCAATCAATCGATCGATCGATTATTATTACAGCCACAGACCAGCATTGGGGTCCTTGGTTTCATTACCCAACTAGGTAACATCCTCAGGGCTAGAAGCAAGCGGCCTTTGCCCGCTTCGTTATTTAGCTAACGAAATGTCTGCAAGAAAACATCCCGAGCTCAGAGAGCAACAAGGACTCCTTCATTTCAACCCTGAGCAACAAATATTGTCTTTATTGGTAGCAGAGAAGGTGTCAGACGAAGAACAAGGTAGTGGGTGAGGAACCAAAGGCCGCGTGCCCATCAGCCATGGAAGCTCCATGGGGGCCTTAGGTCCGATTGCTATTCCTCAGAAGCTCATTTTGCGCGAGTTCCCTTTCAATCCAACCTACCTCCCAAAGTGGCTACAAAGAAGAAAAATGGGAAGGCCCCTGTATAGCTCCTAATATATAAGAGCGAAAGACCGCTCACGCATCATCACAAAATCTCCAAGAACTGTAAAGCCTACAAACTTGGTATTTGGCTGTTGGCTTCTAGGTGCTCACTAAGAAAAGATTTTTCGAAACGACCATCAGAGCATTCGTATTTCCTACATTATTAACACGCTCTGATGCTAAGGAGTTCTATTCCCCCTCTTCAACTGAAAAGAAATCTCTTCCAAAATGCAAAACACAAGCAGAGGAGAGGAGGTTCAGTTTTAGTTTCACAGCACCAAGCAGCTTTAGTGCAGAACAGTTGAGCTAAGCCACGCCCAGGCTCCTTGCTGTCTCCTCCTTGCTCGCACACCAAATGCTGTTTCAGTTTCCAAACAGCCGTCAACTCTCTCACACACTGACTGGATGCTAGCCAGATGAATACCGATGGATGCTGGTAGGCAGAGGCACAATTCCCCCCCTCCCTTATTTTTCTCCCCCAAAACGAAGCCTGATCACATAGTTTCGTAGCAAGCACTGGTATCAAGCTGGTATAGATAACGTAAAGAAAATTCTCACTCGATGAAATACCTAAATAGAGCCACTTCTAAAGGAGCAACTCAACAGATATTGAGCAGAGACCTCTACAATGGCGAGGAGTCCAGACTGTGTTTGTCCAGGTTTTAAATGAGCTTTTCAACTGGATATTTATTCCCGCACAATTAGCTGGAAAGAACGGATTAAAAAAAAAAAATCAGCCGGGATGCCTCAGCTTCCATTCTTCAGGATGAAAGAAATGGCTTTATTTATTCTCTGGAGGAACTGAAGTCTGTCGATTAAAAATTCCCTTTGCATAATGATTTGCAGTCTACTCCTGTTTAACAATCTGTAGGTGTTTTCAAGGATGCACCGACATGTCTTGCAGACTTATACGCAGCACGAGCAGTCCTCGAACTTACGGCCACCCCGAGCCCCAAAATCTCCGTTCTTAAGTGAGACGTTTGTGAAGAGAGTTTTGCCCCATTTTACCAACCTTTCTGGCTACAATTGCTAAGTGAATCATTGTGGTTGATGAGTGAGTAACCCGGTTGTTGTTAAGTGAATCTGGCTTCCCCGTTGACTTTGCTTGTCAAAAAGGGGATCCTGTGACCCTGGGACATGGCAACGGGCGCTAAGTATGAACCGGTTGCCAAGCATTGTAATCTATCTCTTCTATCTCTATGTATTTCTATATCTTTCTCTGTCTATCATCTAGTATATATCTCTCATCTCTCTCGCTATCATCTATATTGTAATCTATCTCTTCTATCTCTATGTATTTCTATATCTATCTATCTATCTATCTATCTATCTATCTATCTATCTATCTATCTCTGTCTCTCTCTCTCTGCCTACCTACCTACCTATCTCTTCCTCTCGCTATCATCTATCTACATTGTATATATCTCTCTTTATCTTTCTCTCTCTCTCTCCCTCCCTCCGTCTCTCTCTCTCTCTCTACATTGTATATATCTATTTATCTATCTCTCTATCTATCTACATTGTATATCTACCTACCTACCTCCTGGCATGGTTTTAACGCTAGCGCAACTCCGATAAAGTATAATATGTGTAATTCAGGATTGTACTGTAGAGATTTCAGTGCTCTGAGCTTGGTTGTTTGCTTCCTGTTGTATAAATAAGACAACTAAATCTATTAAGACAAAATGTTGGATTCAATTGTGGTCATAAGTCAAGGACTGCCTGTACGTAGGCAAAGGGTCATTTATAGTCTTAGAGCAAATAAAACACTTACGGGGCAGGAAACTTTTTAAATTGATGGGCATCTCATTTTTCAGAAAATGTTAAGAGTTTAGTTTCCTTAGAACATTTCAGAAAACTATTTATAATAAATATAAAATATATCCCTCTGTTTCCAATACAATCCAAGAGGTTTTTCTAATTTATGTTCAGGTCACATCCTCTAAATGAAATCATAATTATTTTTGATAATTTTAAATCAGTATAAATGAGCACTCATTACTTTGGCTCTCCCCACTGTAAAAATAGGTGATGCTTTGGAATATTAAGTTGCTTAAGGAATTAAGCTGTTTTCTATCCAGACTCTGGAACTGGCTGACAATTTGGCTACTGTTATAACATGACAGGTAAACGAGCAAAGAAACTGCAAGATTGCAGAAAATACCCGGTAAAATAATGAACAGAGAGCGGTAGTACCCCCCCCCCAAAAAAAAACACAATACGACAACAGAAGGATGGCAGTGGTTTTATACACGAATGCCCATCTGTCCTAGATAAATTGATCAACAATTCTTACAAACATTCTTACAACTTACAACAATTCATTTAGTGACCATTCAAATTACAACGGCACTGGAAAAAAAGGGACTTAGGACCGTTTTTCAGAGTTACGACCTTTGTGGCATTCCCCATGTTCATGTGATCCAAATTGGTCGTACTTATGACCTCTGTGGTGTCCCAAGTTTATAGGATCCCCTTTTGTGACCTTCTGACCAGGAAAATCAATAGGGAAGCCAGATTCGCTTAACAACCAGGTGACTAACTGATGAACCCACATTGTTTCACTTAGCAACTTTGGCAAGAAAAGTGGTAACGGGACACAAAACTCCCTTAAGAAATGTCTCACATAACAACTGAAATTTTGACCTCAATTGTGATCGTAAGTCAAGGACTACCTGTACAACTCTTTAAGGGACATCATTCTGCATATCCTTAACAAATTAAGAGTAAGGAGAAGCAAGCTGAAATCTCTATTGAGATAAATCAATCAATCAGAATGGAATTGGAAGGGACTTTGGAAGTTTTCCAGTCCAAGTGTCCAAGCAGGACATTCTATACCAAATAAATAATAACCAGATAAATTTGGGGTCCATCATCCCTGTATTATTGTGTAAACAAGGGAGAAGGCAATTCACAAATAGATTTTAGGGAAAAGAAATTGGAACCAGCATAGCAGGAAATGTTTAGGAACAGAGATGGAACCAATGACACGGAAGCCGAATATTGCCAAAAGAAAATATGGGATAACTGTTAATTAAAACTTGCCACAATTCTTTAACAAAATAATTACTTTGGATTTGTGCTTTCCTCCCAAAAGACAGATATGTTTCACAATCCATTAGAAATTTTAGACTGGAAAAAAAACAACAACGATCCAGATCAGGGAAACATTTCTAGAATTCTGGTTGACGTTTCCGAGCCAGCTGAAATTCAAAACTTTAAATTTCTTATGCCATGTGTGAGTTAGTGGCTAGAGACATTTGCCAGAGAAACAATAAATAAATACATTAAGGCTGCAATGGGAAACCCGGTGCGACCTACTCGCAAATCAATGTGTTTTAGACCACCCCCCCACGGGAAAAAGTAAAGTCTGGGGTCGTGCATCACACCTTACAATTTCACCGCTGGAAGGTTTAAACCACGCAGCTCCTCAACCAAAGCAATCCCCTGTGCTTGGACCCCCACATCTGGCGATGCTAACATCTTATTACAGACCCCCCTAAAAGCTGGTGAAATAAAACTCGGGCCAGGGTCAAGCAGAAAAATACCTTAAACATTAGACAATAAAAGTGTGTGTGTGTGTGTGTGGTTGGAAATGGATGGACTCAGTGGCCAAGGGAGGGGCAGGCTGAAAGTTATTGGGAAATCCACTTCCGTTTCCCTCATTCATTTCAGTGGAATTCTTTTTAACTCCTGCCACCAACTAATTTTTTTCCCCCCTTCTTTCCTTTCCTTCGCCAGCCGAGGTTTGCTTTCCTCTTCTGTTGGCTCTTCTGCCATCTAGGAGGAGAGGAGGGGGTGTCTTAATAAACTTCCTCCCCCTTGCAAAGAGAGGAGCACCAACCAAGGAAAGGGGGAAGAGGGTGAGGGGATCGGAGCTGGGCTAGTGCCCAGTCTTGCTGGTCTGGGGTGGGGGAAGGGATGGGGGGGGGGGGGGGGGTCGAAAGTCCCAGAGAGGAAGCTCCTGCCCTTTCCCCCCCCCCCCCCATTTTGCAGATCCAGAAAAACAGAAGGGGTGCTTCGGGGGGGGGCACGAAGGCTGAACCCCAGGTCCTCTCTCTCTCTCTCTCTCTCCTACTTCTTTCCTTCTCTCCCCCCCCCCTGCAAAAAAAATTATTCTTGGTGGTGTAGTAATGCAGGCCAGAGTTGCTCTCCTCCCTTCCCCACCCAAAAAAAAAAGAGGGGGGGGGAGAAGGAGGAGGAGGAGGAGGGGGGGGAAGGGAGAGAGGGATCCAGTCATCCAGTGACTCTGCACAAATCTCTGCAATCCAAACTAAAGGAACAACCCCCCCTAAAAAAAAAACCCCAATCCACTCCTCACACCTCCAGGGAGGCAGCAGACTTTCTCCCCTCTCCCCAGCTCGCCCCCCCCCTCCCCACCCACCTACCCCCCTGCAGGGGAAAATTTAATAAAATTTAATAAAAATTTAATAAAAAGGTCTCCCAAGTCCTTCTCTTCTCCCCCCTCCTGCCCTTTGCAAAGAAGAGGAAGGGGGTGCATGGATGTAAAAGGATTGACAGCCCCCCCCACACCCCTCTTCTTTAAGCAAGACAAAAAGAAGGGGGAAGACCCCCCCCCAAAAAAGGGGGTAGCCTTGCCTTCCCCAAGGAGGGCCTCCCCTCTAATTCAACATGGGGGGGGGCTTCTTTGCACCTTCTTTCCACAGACCCCACCCCTTTTGCAAGAAGAGGGTGGGGGTCAGTCCCCTCTGAAGTCCCCCAAAGAGGGGGGGGTCTCTCCAGTTCCCCCCCCACTTACTAGGCCTCAGCCCCCCCCTCCCAACGTTCCCCCTTTTTTTCACCTAAAGGAAGGGGGTTTGAGGGGGGGGGAAAGACGAAGCCCCCCTCCCCCACCCCTATGATTCTCAATTCTCACAACCCCCCCCACACACACCTCCCCTCAGCGCGCCCTCCCCCTCCCAATCCTCACCTGAAAATGCTCCTGGAATCTTATGGGGAGGATTTGAGCCATGATGGTGGTGGGCGAAGGGTCAGCCCGAGCCTGAGAAGCGGGAGTGAGGGCCCAGAAAGGGCTGCTCCTGGGCCGAGAGACCGGGTTGGGTGGGGGGGGAGGTGGAGGTGGAGAGGGGGGGGGTGTCCGGGAACGGCCGCCGCTTCGCTGCCCCACACGCACGCCCGGCAGCGAGGGGTGGGCAGCCGCTCTCCGGCGGGGACGGTACTGCGCAGGCGCGGAGCTTTCACATACACTCTCTCTCTCTCTCTCTCTCCCCCCCCACCTTCTTTTCCAAGGCTTCGGACCCGCGCAGGGGGGAGATCCCTCCGCCAGCCGACCCACCTACTCTTCCCGCCAGAAGCGAAGGGGTCCTCCGAAAGAAGAAATAGTCCCTGAGCCAGCCGGTCTTGCGGGCGCGTCTTTTTTTCTTTTTGTTTTGCCCCATCGCTCTCGCGCTCTTTCTCTGCAGTTAAAGGGAGGGGAGTCGGGGGGGGGAGATGGGGAAGGGGCAAAGGCTGGGGAGGGGGAGAGGAAGGGAAGGGGGTCCTTGGGAAAATGGGTGGGGGAGGCTCTTAAATCCCCTCGCCTTGCCAATTGCTGACATCCTAGGAGTCGGGATGATGCTAAAGTCCAAGGCTTTGGTCTGCTATAGTTTTCTTTCTTTCTTTCTTTCTTTCTTTCTTTCTTTCTTTCTTTTCTTTCTTTCCTTCTTTCCTTCTTTTTTTTCTTTCCTTCTTTTTCTTTCCAGTCTTTCTCTTTTCCTTCCCTCCCTTTCTTCCTTCTTTTCCTTCCTTCCCTCCA